CTATCTTCTAATTCGGTTGGGTTGAGCTTTGAAAGATTTCTGAAATTCCACTATTTTTATATCATATAATAATCATATCATCTAATAACTGCATCGTTCCATTTGAAATTTAAAAAAAAAATTATCAAAGTCCTCGTGTGAGATCGAAGGCGCATTTTTGTGTGGCAGATCAGTATTCTATTAGCCACTTTTGACTCAACCATGAATAAAAGATCTTGTCGGAGGCTACCACATTTCCTTTTTCGGTGCATACTTATATTACACCCACATTTTGGTGGATCTCGCTAAAAACCTTCCTCAAGATAGTACTTAATTTTTGGGGGGCACTTCTCATTGCTCGAGCTTCTATTGGCGACACGAGAAATAAATTTGCAAAAATGCGCTAAAAAACCTGCAAACTTTATGCTAATGTCACATCGCGCCCTCTACCACTCATCACATTTACTAAAAAGACTGTTCATGAATCGGAGATATCCATGGTGTGATGAGACTCAAAATGGGGTTGTGTATATTACATACCAATAAAACACAAAACCTTCCCCATACTAATTTTAACAAACAAATTAAGGAAGCAGCGATTAGTTTCGACCAAAGGTCATCTTCTGGCTTAAGGAGATTACAGAATAAAACTTTTTAAGACATTTAGACGAACACAATGCAAAAGTTATGACAGCATGGGGAAAAAACGCAATGGCGTCTTCCACCTACGCCCGACATTTCATTTAATTACATTCAATTATGGAACTTTTTAATGTTATTGTTTAATTGTCAACGTTTTTTCCCCATGCTGTGTTATAAATTTTGCATTGTGTTCGTCTAAATGTCTTAAAAAGTTTTATTCTGTAATCTCCTTAAGCCAGAAGATGACCTTTGATCGAAACTAGTCGCTGCTTCCTTAATTTGTTTATTAAAATTAGTATGGGGAAGGTTTTGTGTTTTGTTGGTATCTTGGTGTTCATCTAAAATCTGATTCCACGAAGAGAGATCTTTCCAACCTGTTTCCAACAATTACATTAATAGATGTTTCACTTCCCCCACCCCTCACATTTTATGAGCTAGAGCAATATGTGCATTGATACAAGACTGCGAGCCATGTATTTTTTAGTTCATTCATAGCGTTTTTAATGTTTTTACCTGTCTGTTTCTGTTTATCTGTTAAATTATCTGTTAGGTATGTACTATTATTATTAATGTTACTCTTAACACACGTTCATGGTATTCTAATGAAAGGTCTCACCAAAATGAATTGGTTTATAGAAAGTATAACTTTCCCGCAAGACTCCTTTTCGAGGTCCGTAGGTGGCCGAGGGAGGGGGGAGGGGGAAAAACTAATTTTATCTTTTAAGATATTCTAATGGAAGGTCTCACCAAAAGAAACGGTTTTCTACCTACTACCGCCCTTCTTTCTGACTCCATGTCAAAAAGGGTTGCACTGTTTTTACTCTTCATGGTACTCTAATGAAAAGTCTCAACGAAAGGAATTAATTTCTACCACCCATAGTCCTCCTGCTCCCCCTTATCATGATCGGATATAAATAATTCCTTATATCTCAAGAATTGATTGTCAGAGTGGTGATGTCAAAACTTTAAGAGCAAATATCTCGAAAACGGAGTGGCGGAGGAAAGTTCTCACACAGGCAAAATGAATTATCTGGACGAGACGTATATATTGGAGAAGTCGAAGCGAATATCTTGAAAACGAGGTGTCGGAAAAGGGTACACATAAAGGGAAAGTGGTCAGGACGAAAATATATATCGGTGATGTCAAAACTTAGCTGTGAATACTTCGAAAATGTTGGACGAAGAAAATGCCATATTTCGGAGAAATTCTCTTCTCATAACGAACCATTTCCTAAACTATTTCTCTTTTAAAAAATGCGCTTTATCTGAACAAGAATTGTGCACAATTTATATTTGTTTTAAAAGTTGTGGACAAAATGGAGTTGTTTGGGAGGGTTACCACCACCTCCCCCACGATTTCGTTTAATTGCTGTTATAAAATGTTACTAAAAAAATAAATTAATTTTAGAGGTACATTAAATTGTTTTCACAGGCTCAGGTATTAATTTATGCTTGTTTTGTGCTCAACTTCCCACATTTTGTGCTTCACTCACATTGGTGAATCAACCATTAGGGCTACAAGCCTATGCGCCAACAATTAATAAATTATTTTACATGGTGAATTATACTCGTTTCGTCGTAGATAGAAAGAAACGTTCACAGTTTAATAATATATGGATTAAGAAATTCAAATATGTACAGGGGGTTCAAATTCGTGGGTCACCATTGGGGTCTCCATAACGGTGACTAAAAAAACGCATTTGAAATTTTTGAAAAATCTGTGAAAATAACAGAGATTTCACCGAAAAACTGAAAATGTCAAATTTCGTTTTTATTTTCCCTGGTTTAAACGGTTGGAATGGACGACACCTTCTATGGGCACTTTTTTTTCAGAGAATCTGGATCTGTCTTCAGCATTTCCATAATAACCTTCTTATGGGTCCCATATTGGATTTTTACGGAATGAGATAGAAAACAAAAAAGAAAAATAATGTCACACTATACTTTTATATAAATTTCAAAATCAAATGTTTTCATTTAATTTTTTAACAAAAAAAATCATCCACGGGTAAACTGAATCACCATCAAACATGACTATACTATGATCGCCATGCAATCAAATGAATTTCATTTTTTGTCCTCGATCAGTCTATCTCATTCCATAAAAATCCAATATGGCGTCCCTACGAAATAAGAAAGTAGCTCGGAAAGTAATTAGTAGTAGCTTCTCCCTCTACCGTGTTATAAAAAATCTGATAACAAATTCAGCTTCTCCGAAAAAAGTGCCCATAAAAGGTGCCAACGGGAACTGTCCATTTCCCACCGTTTAAGCTAGGGAAAATTAAAACGAAATTTGACATTTGAAGTTGTTCGGTAATAACTCAGTTATTTTCACAGATTTTTCAAAAACAATTTTCCCCCCATTTAACCTACACTGTATCTCATACTGTTACGGAAATTCCAACGAATTTGAACCGCCCTGTACACAAGTTGGCGTAAAATTTTGCGCATATCGATCACAATTCAGAATTCGGTTCCAAAACCTTCATTCCCCTCATTAATTTGTAATTCTAAATAAAAAATCTCGCCTTTCCGTTAATATTGACACAAAAAAATGAAGGGCACAATAAAATCATGTATGCAGTAATTTTAAATACGATAACTAATGCCTCTCTAATTCTACTCCAATTCCATTAACTCCTCTCTAACTCTGTAATGACTAATTTTCTAATTCCACTAATATTAATAAAATTATTAGTAATCCTGCAGTTAATAAGGAACACAAGAAATAATTATAGATTTTGTAGGGCACGCGTCCAGTCCCACCAAGGAGAAAATCTCGATATTGACGGAAATTTTATTAATTTGAGAAATTCATCAGCCTTAACCATCTCCAAAATCTCTTGGGTCGTAATTTGGGCTCGATTAAACATAAAAGTAACCATTTACAGATGATCAACATCAATCAATCAAACAAACTGAAAAAAGAATGGCGCTCAGGGCCAGATAACACACACCACGCAACCAACGATCGATTAAACACATTTAGAAATTACACAACTGGCGAACGGTTTCGAATTAGTAATAGGTAGACAATAGTCAAGAGATTAACAGAATAAATTTTGGGGAATACTCGTCAACCGGAAGTGACCTTATCGCTCGTTGCCTATATTGGTTCAATTTATTAAGAACCTTTTTTCTTTCTTTTCAACTTCTGCCTCGACTTCCTGAACAAATTAATGCGCAAATCGCAAATGACCGGAGAAAAATTATCTTTACAAATACTATACGCAAATAGTTCCTAACTGAATAAATCTAGTATTTGTCAACCATAAGCGTGTTTTATGTTGTCGTACAGCCAATTGATTGGTCTTTTGAAATTATCTTTAAAAAATAGGTATTGCATTTGAAGACCAAAAGTTGCATCTATTTCCGGTTAAACCAGAACTGATGCAGGCAATTTTAATATGCGATTTTATTTGACAAATTTTTCGTATCTCGCTTAATCAAAGAGGCGGCATTGAAATTACCCTCTTATTTCGAACACACTGTATATCTTAACAAATAAGAATGCGCTGACAGAGACATATTTTCGACTGAATTTTCGTACTTTTTTAATATGCTCAATGTCCCCTCAAATCTAAAGTTTACCTGTCCAGGCATATTTTGACTCATTTGTAACAAAATAAAACGTGGTTAGACATTTTTCGCTACACTACAACAATAATTACTCGATGCTTCTTAACACAGTAATTATATCGGTGCATTTCACTTATTCTCAACACGACCGTGTACAGAATAAGCTCAGTCGTGTAAATAAATTAGCATTCATTTTCATTAATAAATTCCGCTTTTAATTCCTGCTTTTTAATCGCTTAAATTGAAGAGAACTGTTTTGTAACACTTATAGAAGGTGTACTAACAAGATCTTGAATAAAGTGGAACAGTATTGACGTAGGTCGCTGGGATAATAATCAAATTTTCTGCACCGGCATCTATAACTTTCACATTGTGAAATTTTTCTTCTTCTTTGAAAATTTTTGTTTATTGTAAAAATCTATGGAAAATAACTTTATCTAATGCGAATATCCATTAGATATGCTAGATGCGTATGTATCTGTATGCAACAATTAGCGGATAATTAAGCAATTACCAGTCAATTTTTTGCGGCTATTGATAACAATGATCTAACGCATAACTTAGTGCAAATTATTAAAGGAATTTACGGAAAAGACCCGAATTGGTACTTAATTACTGAACCCTTGGAAGGCATTGTGTCGACGATCACCGCAAATTCGGTTTATTGGTTATTAAGCTAACACTAATTGTTGAGCTATTGAATTTAAATTAGGATCATATTCAGCCCATTTGATCAAATGATTACGTTTACTAATCGAAAATAGCTTCCCTTTAGTTGAACAATTTTTGTTTTGTTTCAGATGGGTTTGCGATGCCTAGACGACTTTTTAAATCGATCCTTCTACAGACTTGGATTGCTGGTCGGTCATCATCCAGGTTACTTCCTTATTGTTCCTGTTCTTCTGTTCCTTTTATGCCTTACGGGCTATCAACGTATACATTACAATATTGACCCGGAGTATCTCTTCAGTCCAGTTAATGGTCCGGGTAAATACGAGAGAGCGGTCGTAGAGGAGCACTTCAAGCTTAATTACACGCATCGGTTTAATGTCGCAAGAATTACAAGAGCAGGTTTGTATTACGGTTCATAATCCACTTTCATAATAAATGCGTAAATGTCAGATTAACATTTTGCATTTCTCAAATGCACTTCAATATTTGCAATTGCAATTAGTAGTAGTAGACAAATAGGTACTTGGTTTGTAGCAATTTGCAAATTAATTATTTAGTTGGTGCACCGTGGCACCAATGAATGTTGTTGTTTCAACGATGCAAGAACTAATAGCTACCTTTAGACCTAGGAGTACTCCATCTAGTCGTCCTTCTTTGGAATGATTGAGATCAACTATGCATGTTTGGAAAGCTTTCATATTCCTCAGTTGTTTCTAACCAAATGATTAGATTGCTCCTTCAGATTTTTCCATTTCACACTTCCGTTTCTTCAAATTTCGAGCTTTCCTATTCGCCAAATTCTTCAGACCCTTCAGTGTCCGAATGTCCGGATTGGAAAATGGAAATCCCCAATCTGCTACTGTCTCCGTGATCAAGGCCTCTTTTTGCACACTGAGGACTGTGGAGATTTTTTTCAAATTTTTCGAACCTTTCGCGTCTTCGGACATTTCATGCCCTTCAGGTTGTTCAGTTTTTACCGTTTTTCCTCTTCCTGAACCTTAAGATTTGTTCTATGGATACTTGTGTTTCTCAGAATTATTGATTGATAAAGTTCGTTAAGTTACATATGGTATGATGATTGTTCAGATTCTAAAGATTTCTTCAATCTTTCCGATTTTTAATATTATCCGAACTCCAGATCCTTAGGATACTATTCATCTGACCATTTGGATTGGATGGATTACTTGGACGGTATGGTTTTTTATATATGTTCTTTGGGTTGTTGAAATTTTTCTCCTTGGGTAGTGCGGTTGCTTCGGATTCTTATGATTCTTCAGACTTATTCTTCGTTTCCACCGGATTATCCAGATTCTTTAAATTCACCAGATTGTTTTGTGTTTGAATTGGTTAATGGGAATGGGCATGGGAACGAGAAGGGGAATGGGAATGGTCACGGGAATGGGCGTGGGAACGGGAACGGGAATGGAAATGGGAACGGAATGTGCAGGTTCTTCGTTTTCATCAGATTATCCAGATTCAGACTCTAAAAATTATAAATCCAAATTCCGTGAAGGATGTGCAATTGTGGCCACAGCAATAAGGGATGATGTTTTGTACAAAAAAAATGTCCCAGTGAATTTTTTGTACAACTTCTTCTGCAAGAAATTAATATACAGGGTGTGTTTTTTATAAATAGTATGAAGATTTCGAAAAGTATTAGAAATACAAATTAGGGAAAATGAGAAAATAGTTGCAGTTTTCTGCCTTACTCAAAACACCCTTTGTAAACAGGAGGCGGATTAACCGAATGTTGGGAAATAACAACTCTTATGCCCCCCCCCCCCTCCACCTTCTATGGTTTAATGTTTTAATAATATCTCGCTAAGCAATTCGCAAACTTCTCTCAATTTCCTCTCTAATTCTCTTCTCAAATTGATTTTAAATTCTCTTGAAGATCGCTTCCATGCTTTTCTCGAGTTTCTTTCAAATCTTTATTCAATCTCTTTCGAGTTCCCCTCAAACGTCCATTAAATTACTAAGTATCTCCGAAGTCTCTTTTAATCCTTCATGAAGTTCTCATTAAATTCTTCTCAATTTCTGCTTGAGCCAGGTAGATATCACGCTCCCCAAAGCTTCTCTTTTCTCAAATTCTCTTCAAGCTCTCTCAAAGGTTCTCTTCAATTTCCTTTCAATTGTCTCCTAAGTTTCTATCCATTTTTTAAGATTTTCTCAAATTGCTCATATGTTACCTTCGATTTAATCTGAAGTTTTCCTCAAGCTTTACCCAATTTCGGTGTCCTTTGAAGTTGTCTTCTGAAATTGCTCTTTTCAAATTCGCCTGAATTCCCCTCGTCAGGTTTCTCTTTCAGTTCCCTTCATCAAGTTCGTATCATGAGTTTCTCACCAGTTCATGTCAAGCTTCTTATTGTTTTCCGCGAGTTCTTCTTCTTCATATACTGCCCTCAACTTTCCTTCAAGTTGAAATTCCAATCAAACTTTCCTCCCCCTTCCCCCTTCTTCCACCACCTCACTCCTGCTTCTCTCCCTGTCTTTTCCACCTCCATGCAATTCCTTTTTGTCATTTTCCATTTTTTCTCTTACTCCTCTCCTCTATCCGCCCTAAGCCCGTCGGTATCCATTTCTTTCATAATATTTTCCTCTTTGTTCTTCCTACATACCTTTTGTGTTCATCCTCGTTGCCAAACATTCGCTTTCTTTTTCACTCAAATTCTTGAACCTTACCGCCCTGCTTTCCGAAATTTAACTCCATTCATCTGTTCTACCTTTATTGCCATTATCACTGCATCGTCCGCGTATACCACTGTTCATATCTTTCTTCTTTCCACTATGATCCCTCCACTTTAGCCCTGTTTAGTTACTTGATTCTGTCCATCTTCCATAATTTTTCTCTTTCCACTCTGTCAAGAGCTGATTTTAAGTCCGTGAAAACGCAATTTCCGCCCTCTTTTCCAATTCCTTTTCCACTAATGCATGTATAATAAATACATTGAAGCCCATTTGTGTTTCCTTTGCCCTCTTTTTTCCATTTCTCTTTCTAATCTTTCATTAGATTCTATACGCCGCGCCGTTCGAGTCTTCGGATAAACCCCTTCTTTTCCATGCCCTGTTTACTAGATTCCTCATCCTTTCCTTGACCCTACATGCGCCAAAAATCCAAGCCTCATTTCCTATCTCGCCCCTCCCTGTCGCGTTCCCTTTCTTCAGTGTTTTTAGTTGCTGCTCGATCTTCTCTCTTGTTATCTCACCTCATTCAACCTCTTCCTATCTCTTCCACAGCTTAATATTAAGTTTTAATAGGTCGCATATTTGTCCATTTAAAACCCTACATTGTGCAACAACTACATTGTGCAACAATTTTTAACAGCACTATCATGTGATTGGGTACTTTTTGTTAGTGTTTTGCAAATTGATTAAATACGTAAAGACCGCCTTTAAATCTGGCTTGTGCTCCTTTTCAGTGGACCCCAGTGAGAAAATCTGATGGAAATAGATCGGTAGACAGGTGCATCCGACAGTTTTGCAAAAACGAAAGTGTGTTAATCACGCTATTTCTTTACTAATTAATTGCAAATTTTCTTACTTTTATCTTGTACCAATCTGACGTTAATACCGTTTCTTGCAGGTCGCTTCGGAAGGGTGATTATAACATCAAGTACCCGCAACAAAAACATGCTACGTGCCGAAGTTTGGAAGGAGATGCGAACGCTCGATGACTTAATACAAAATATGACCGTGTTTTACGACGAGGAGTACTTCACCTACAAGGATATTTGTGCCAAGTGGGGAAATCAGTGCTTTCAGAACGACATACTGAATCTGGATCAAATAATGGAGAAGGTAATCATTTTCTTCTTTCTTCGAGCGACACTTTAATTGTGCAATCAGCAATTTCCGTCGGATGATTGATGTGCATTCGACTATCGAATTAAGTAATTTGAAATAGTCGATCGACAATTTAATGCACTCGCGTATACACGCAAACGTACAGTTGTCTACGATAGTGAAAGTAGAACATTAGAAGACGGTCCCGAATAAATTGTTATAACACGCGTTTGGTCAGTTTCCTTTCATTGGAAATTCTCAGACGTCATTCAATAAATTATATAATATTAAGGATACCTACCTACATTTAGTTTCGGTTGTGTAATGGAACAGGTGATATTTGTGCAAGCAAGAATTGTTATACAATTGGTACCCGCTCGGGTCATATTTCGAGGGGAAATCGTGTAATACTGCCATAATATCCCATTTAATTTTTAAATTTCTATTAATTAAATTTTAAATTAATAAAAAAAAATCATTTCAATACAGAAGGAATGTCCTTAATATTGTTGAGAACATATGATCAGAAATCCATCACTAAGTATTTAATCTGATCGTATGTGCAGTGCATACGAGGGGTCGTTTTTATATTCCTGAACTGGGTTTTTTGAATTTTGATGCAATTTTGATTATGCTGTTTTTTAATCACATATGCCTTCGTAACTTGTGTGGCGATTTACAAAACAATTGCAACATTATTAATTATGTGATAGTTTTGTCCGTCTGTCTGTCTGTTGCCCGTCTCGAGAACGAAAAAAGACAGCGATGTCAAACCTTCGCTAATCGATTTCTACGAGTTCAAGGACCAGTGCTATTGAATAGTGCCGGATCAAAAGTCTGGCTTCCGAATACGAGCTGAGTGGCAAAAAATTCCCCTACTGAAAATCGTATGCGATTCTTCGTATAGTTATTTCTTTTAAAGCATAATTTCCTGTTTAGGAGTTGATTTCGTAATTTTGACCGATATCTTGCAATTTCGATTTACATCTTGCAATTCGGCTTATATCTCCTAACTAATTACTTGATAAATTGCGCAATTTCGACTTATATATCAACGTAATTCGAACTTATATCTGGTAATTTCGACTTGTATCACGTAATATCGAGTTAGGTCTCGTATGTATATCTCATAATTCCGACTTTTATCTCGTAATTTCGACATTACTCGAAATTACGAGATAAAAGTCAACATTTCGAACTGTAAATTGGAATTTCTAGATATATCCAAATTATAACATTTAAGACGAGTGTTTAGATATAAAAAAATAGAAAAAGATGGGGCCCTTCAACGCTTCCGTACATTTTGCTTCTCTACTCATAATTTTGTTTCAAGCATCATTCGTGAACTGCGCCTGGAGTCTACGGTTTAAACGTTATTAGAAAAACTCCTTTTCCTATTCACCCAAGTGTATTTCGCCTTCAATACAAGGCTTATTTTTAAAATTCTCCTTGTTCTACTACTTTAATTACTATCAATCAGTTACACTTTCTCTTGATGTTGTTGGAATATATTAGAAAAAGCGTTTACCCATCCACAAAACAGTTTCTGGGATACCTACAGCGGAAAATAAAATTAGGCTCCACCTACCCCAACTAAAAAAAATGTGCCAAATTCTTGACAGAACAGCTTGCTAGTTCAAACCAAAAATCGCGCTTTTGGAGGTGTCTTCAAAAAATCGTAAGTGTAGGGAAAAAACGTTTCCCACGGAATGTTGTTATTTTTCGATGTACATATTCAATAAAAAGTATATGTTTCTATTTGAAAAAATTAAGTTGACTTACACTTTACCCTTAAGGGACAGTTTTGTGAAAATGTGCATAGCATCATTAAATAGGCCCCTCCATATACCGAATTTTTTTTTATATCTCCGCTATTTTCCGGAATAATCAAGTTAAATGGGACATTCAAATATAAGATTACGGAACTGGTAATCGCAACGTGTGCCGCAACTCACAAAAGATGACCACTACACCCCAATTCGTTTTTCTTATGCAGGTGCAGTTAAACCCCAATAAATCATCCCCTAAAACTGCAAAGGCAAAAGTGCCTGCTTTAAAAGTATCGTATATAACCCGCTACTTGTTATCGTTCTGTTTCGAACTCCATGTCTTTGTTTTACTAGAGAAAACACAAAATTTACTCTTTATTAAATTAATAATTCTAATTAGTTCGTGATAGTCGATAACTTGTTTACGATACGTTCTTTACCTCACGCGCTTTTTTTTACCTTTGTTTGTTATTTTGTTACTAATAATTCATTTATTCTTTACAGTCAAGCAACCCCTCGAAAACTGCACTGGTTATAAAACAATTGTAGATTAATATTTGAAAAAACAGTTGCATGACGTGCCGGCGCTAAAAACTCATATTAAAAAAAAGTTTTAACAGTTTTAAATCCTTTACGCCTAATGTACACTGCTAGAATTGTAACTAAATCAAAATAACCTGTTTTTTAGTTTTTTAGTTGTCAACTTTTACGACCAACCTTACGGAAGGTACATATAATACACGCTCCAGCGACTTTAGGTCAACATTTAATCCGTGGTTATACACGGTGTCCATTTTTCGAGTGCCACTATGGAGATTTCGCTTATCTTAAGAGATAGAAAGTTGATTAAATGGGAGCAAAGTTGCAAATTTCCGTGCTGAATAAGAATCTGAAAAGAAATTTGAAATATCTTCAATAGTTTTGAAGATATCGCAAAAAAACGAAAATGTCTGATTTTCGTTTTTAATTTTTTTATAATAAACTAATCGTAGTAGACATTTCTAATTAACACATTATTCGGACACTTTTTAATGGAGATTTCAAATATGGTATTCTGTTTTTAATAACTTTCAAGATGACGGAGAAACACGTGGCAACTTTAGTTTTTCTTATGGGCGCCATATTGAATTTTGAGATTTTGGGATTACGTCTTTTTTTCTCTTTACAACGATATATCACACATAGTGGTTCAGTATCCCATTTTTCCTAAAAATACAATTTTTCATTTTTTGAGAAGAGTGCTTTGGAAAACAAAACGTTCTTTTGTTGTCAACAAAAGTTTGACAGTTTGATCCATCTGTCTGGTTGCAGCGTTGTCAGAGAAGTAGAAATTCGATTTTCATCTCAACCGCTCGCAAAATTGCCTGCTCATATTAATTGGGTCTATCACCATATTGCTGTCTACATCTTTTAAAAGAACCATATTCGCCCAAGTTTTTATGCAGCAAAGAAAAATACCTCAAACTAGGTTGTTGCCCCTCTGGATAACGCTGCAAGTATGTTGCAGCAGTCATGTGGGCATTTCGATGAGAAGAGAAGTGTAGTAAATTTGGATCATATCTCTTTGATCTGCACTTGAAAAAGGCATTTTCGCAATACAACTAGCATAAACCTAAATGACACTACATGAAATAAGTCAACCTTTTGTTCACAACAAAAGAACGTTTTATTTTTCCAAAGCACTCTTCTCAGAAAATTAAAAATTGTATTTTTAGGAAAAATGTGATACTGAACCACCGTGTGCGATATATCGTTGCAAAGAGAAAAAAAGACGTAATCTCAAAATATGAAAATTCATAATGGCGCCCATAAGAAAAAACTAAAGTTGCCACGTGTTTCTCCGTCATCTGGAGAGTTATTAAAAACAGGATGCCATATTTGAAATCTCCATTAAAAAGTGTCGGAATAATGTGTTTATTAGAAATGTCTACTACGATTAGTTTATCATTAAAAAAATAAAAACGAAAATCAGAAATTTTTGTTTTTTTGAGATATCTTCAAAACTATTGAAGATATTTGAAATGTCTTTTCAGATTCTTATTCAGCACGAAAATTGGCAACTTTGCCCCCATTTAACCAACTTTCTATCTCTTAAGATAAGTGAGATCCCCATAGTGGCACTCGAAAAATGGACACCGTGTATACCCCAATAAAACATCCCCTGAAACTGATATCTTTTCTTAGGCAAAAGTGCCTGGTTTAAAACGAAACGAAATTTACTCTTTATTAAATTAATAATTCTAATAAGTTTGTGATAGTCGATAATTTGTTTATGATAAGTTCTTTCGTAAATACCTCACGCGCTTTTTTTTACTTTTGTTTGTATTTCTATTACTAATAATTTATTTATTATCTACAGTCGAGCAACGTTGCTCGCGGTAGTACTCATATTTGAATTGTTTATAGTGGCGTACGTTTACTTTTCACTTTTTTAATGGAAAGGACTATTTTTCGTGAGGTATTATTAAAGAATGAACAATGACAACATAAACAACATGATCAAACTAGTAAAATTATGAAACTAATTTTCAAACTATATTGTTTATTATGAGTTTTTCTCATAAATTTGATGATGTAATATATTATTTTATGCTGCTATATAAAAAAAAACCACTGACTACAAATTTAAAGTACGTTAACGTTTTATAACTTTGGACACAGTTAAAAAAATGTTTTGAAGATATAATTATTCAGTGTTCCAGAGTCCAGACAAAATTTTCATCCTGTATATTCATGAGGTTTGTCATTTGAAAAAATAGTGGAGCAAAAAGCTTTGTTTCTCCGCAGATAATAAATGAGAAAAAAGGACACAATAAAGTATTTGTCATAGAAGATACATATGCATATTTAGGAAAATCAGGGTTTTTAATTTTTTTCAATAACTTGAATGGAGGGAGGGGGATAGAAATTAATTTTATATTTCATTAAAGGTCTCAACGAAAGGAATTACTTTCTACCAACCATCGTCCTCCTCCTCGTCCCCTTATAGTGATTGGCTATAAACAATTAGTTAGATCTCAACAACGAATTGTTGGAGGAGGGTACTCACAAATGGCGATTGGGATGTCTGAAAGAAAGATATCTATTGGTGATGTCAAATATGTGCAAATATCCGCAGAACGGAGAAAGGTACCCCCAAGTCTCAAAGGGCAGAAAGAACGTTTAGATACGACACATCTTTTGCAAACTTAATTTTTTGAAAGACCCACAAATAGTTAAGGTCAGATATGAATCCTTTTCGATTCTTTCGGAATTTTTCTGAACCGGATTTTCCAAAAACTGCAGGGGCACAATGAAAACGAGTTTTGGTAAAATGAGGCATTTCAAATTCTGAAGAAAGTAGATATATAGTTGGGGAATCTATCCGCTGAAGTTGATCTTCCGGAAACGGAAGGGGTACAATGTGAACGAATTTTGATACATTGACTTGTGAAGATGTTCCGGAATTTATTCAAAATTTATGTGGTGTTCTCGTAAATTATTTGCATTCAAAATTGCTGTCATTACAACAAAAATTATACATACCACGAAAAATCTAAAAGGATAAAATATAGATGACCCAAAGAGTCTCTGAACTGAAGTTTTGTAATGTTGCTCGCTCCATTAGAGTCGTACTTTGTCCCTTCAAAATCCAATTGGTATCCTAAATCCAAGAAACTACCAATTTTTAACACCTATTGTTGCAGGTTGAAGCTGGAACGCTAAGGCTAACATTCCCAATCATGATCAATCCGGTGACCTGGGACGCGCACGCTTTCCCTGTATATTTCGGCGGTACGGAGGTCAGCGAGGACAGTACAATTTTAAGCGTGCCTTCGGTTCAATTGGCCTACTTTACCAACGTCGACACTAAAAAGTTCGATGCAAAGTACTCGTTTTTCCGCACTCGAAATTCGTTCATTACCACTTTGATTGCAGAGGAGCCGCTTGGGAGGACGGGTTCTTGGACAAGATCGAGGAGATACAAGACGGCGGTTTTTTTAAGCATATACGAATTGCGAGATTCGCCTCGAGAACTTTAGATCACGAGTTGGAGAAGAATACCAGAACAGTCATACCGTACTTTACGTCAACATTCGTTATTATGGCGTTGTTTTCTATAGGTAAGTCTGGACTTCGTGAACATGACAAGCTCATTTTTATCCCTAGTTACGTGCATGATGGCCGATTGGGTAAGATCCAAGCCGTGGCTAGGACTTTTGGGAAACGTCAGCGCGTGTATGGCTACAGTAGCCGCATTTGGAACGTGTATGTACCTCGACATCGATTTTATTGGCATTAATCTGGCGGCCCCATTTCTAATGATTGGTGAGTATAACACTTGGAGGATTTGTCTAGTTACTCCATGATGTTGCAGGTATTGGAATTGATGACACCTTCGTAATGTTGGCCGCTTGGAGGAGGACGTCTATCAAAGATACCGTTCCCGAAAGAATGGCGAAAATGTTAAGCGAGGCTGCCGTCTCAATAACAATTACTTCGGTGACCGATATGATCAGTTTCTTTATTGGAATTTTTAATCCGTTTCCTTCTGTTCGCATTTTCTGCATATACTCCAGTGAGTTACACCCAAAATTCCACGTTCTTTAAAATAATGAATACCGTTGTAGGTGTCGCGACTCTTTTCACTTTCATCTTCCATCTCACTTTCTTCACATCGTGTATGGCCCTTGCGGGTTACTGTGAGCAGGGAAATCGGCATTCAATCGTGTGTGTCAAGGTTCAACCGGTATCTAAATCAAGTAAGTCTAATTTCTAACCATTTTCTTATTGATAGACGTAATTTCTACTTCTAATTATTGAACTAAAGAATAATCAATTGTTGAGAATGGGAGCGCCTTAATTTCAAAATTATACGATTGCGTGTTTGGAAAATAATAGACTTTCTTTTGACTTGTAATACACGTGAACGATTACTAAAACTGTTATTTAAACAGGAATTAGGATTTTGCAATGCGTTGCGGTTTGTTCCTTTCGATCCATCAGTTATAAATCGTTGAATTGAAAATGTGAATGTTGTTGTGTGGTGGATTCGCAAAACGTGTCAAAAATCTTTCAATTTCGATTGCTTTCACTTTCTTACTTGAGGTCGTCAAGAGTATTCGTTTACCGTTCGGAAATCTGGCAAAATAGTATACTAATAAAACACATTCTTTGATCCTTTTTGAGTGATCCACCTCAACTCTTTCCATTAGTTATTTAAAAGCCTTGGTTTTCAGGACTAATGTTTAATTTCCGTTTCAACAGCATATTCTTCCCAAAGGTGAATTTAAGTTAATTGAATTTTTTGTTCTATGGTAGATGTTAAATTGACATTTCCATAGGTCTGAATTTAACAGTAAGGGTAGATAAAGTGATCATTTTAACGGCAAGGGTAGAAACAGTAAAACAAATGATCACTCTGAAGACATCTGTCGTTTTAAAAATGGGACGCGGAGCACGAAATAAAATTAAGTTCCAAACAGAAAAAGATAGTGTTTCCATGGATAAGACGGGAGAACCTAGTTTTATAATGATTTATACGGCTTCAATGGGTGGACAGATGATCGAATCGAACTACAGCCTATATCGAAGACTCTTTTTGGTCTTTTTTTAATCGGCGTTTCTACGAATTATTTGGGTGGAATAACCTTTTCCACTTTTCCTAAGATGCAAGCATTCAAATAAATATGAAAAATGTCCAAAAGGACCTAACCACTGCCGAGCACGTGTTGCAACGCCCACATCCAAAATTTACGAGCGACATTCCATTATACATAGCAGTTCGATATGCAGGGAATGCATTCATTTATAGCGTTAAAGCGGAAAAAACCGAAAACATGTCGATTTTTATTCATAATTTAACAATTTATAGTATGAACCTTGTTTGACAGGGATTTTAATTCTCTGGCCAACAATATACGGTTTTTTTAAAAATTTGGTGCAATCCTAACTGAGAAAATTAATTGTGAAGATCTGATATTTGGATAACCAAAAAAAGTTACGTAGAATGAAGCAAACAATGCTATATTTATTATTTAGTACCTAGATATATGTTCATCTTGAACATTTAATTTGATACTCATTACAAAATAAATTGAAAATGCACTAAATAAATAAATGTGACACTCTTTACTTTGTTCTACGTAGAGATTTGTGATTATTACAATGTTATGCAACGGGCCCTACACTAAAGCCCCACTGTTGGGTACAATTTTGCAGCGTTTTTTTCTGCAAATAAGGTTGGGAATTTCCTTTGATTTATTATAGACTCGAAAATCCCCACAGGCAAAGTGTATCATTCAAAGATTACTACAATGCCATTGACTAGTCCTCATGATTCGCTACTAGACTGTGAACTCCCTCAAACACCACCACAAAATTACTGTATATTAATGAAAATCAGAAAAATTGAGTTGTTTAAGAATGCATCTCGCCTTTTACATTAATTTCTCACATACTAAAAATCTGCTTGTCACAATTTGGGATAATAGAAATTTAGTTTGAAATGGCCATCTCTTTTCTTACCTCTAATAACTTGATAGTTTGAAATTGAATTGCGATCAGGAAAGTGATATTCATGTAGAAGTAGACATAGGGATTTCCTATGTCTACTTTTAAATGATAAAAAGTCTTCTGAAGGGCGCCTAACTTTATGCAACCAAAATAACTACCCACAACAGATCAAGATTTGCCTGTCATATTAATTAATTTGACTATTTACGGTTTGACTTCCGTATTCTAATTTTCGTTCGTGTGCGATGTATTCAACTAAAGAAAAAGTTGATATTTCCATAGTGCCGATAACAGTTAAAGGAGCTTAAGAGATTTATTTTCTGTGAAGCCAAAGCAACAAGATTCAAATTAATAATTAATATGACAACTAGATCTTTATTTGTTTCAAGAAGTTATTTTGGTTGCATAAAATTAGGCGTCCTTCAGAAGACTTTTTATCATTTGAAAATGGACATAGGAATTACCTATATTTTGAAAAAAGTTTTACAAAATCGGAAAGGGCATACCCATCTTTGTAACTCTTATGGTTGCTCACAAAAAAATTAAAAAAGAAATGCAAATTTCGCCACTTTTTCTGGAGATGGCTACCAAACGGAACACGTTGGACCCTCGGTTTATTTAAAAAAAATTCTTGTTTTGATCCCCTCTTCTACCAAATTTTTTTACATACTTATATGTAACACCCTGTATAGTTGGCATTGTCAGTCTTGACATAGAAGGCAGCCATAAATCAATACACGAGTTTTTTAATTCGAAACTGAGGTCGTGTATACTTTTTCTATCCTATCCTAAAAGTATTCAAATAAACGTGAGAAATTTGGTCGTGTGAAGTGAGATATTCGAGAAAATTAATGAATTGAAAAAAAAATTGCGAGACTTTGATAGTATTCAGTCTTCCTAAAATTTAAATATTTAAAGAATCGTACAGATTGAAAGAAGATGAAACTTTGGTCGTCTTCACTTTTCCTATAATTCAAATATGCAAATCAATACCTAGGGAGATTTGACCGTGTGTACTTCTTTTCAAGTAAAAGCATTCAATGTGAAAATGAAAATATGGGAAACTTTGTCCGGGTTCCCTTTTTCTGAGTTTGAAGGAAAATGGATAAAACTATCGCCGTGTGCACCTTTTCTCAGTTAAGGTTAATTAATGAATTGAACTACTTTTTTTTGTATACTTTTTTGCACACGGTGTTTAGGGATGCTAAAAATGTTCACTCTGAGCCAAAGGGGACACCGGTACATGTAAGGTAGAGAATCTCAAGAAATTTCCCTGGATTTTCCTTAGAGTTCTGTATTCTAACAGAAGAAATATTTGGAGGTTGTTGATAATTGAAATTTTAAAATTAATGGTACATTGAACTTTTTGCAGGTAAAATTGATATTTAGAAAAATTGAAATTGATCAATGCTCCTATGTGGTATTGAGAGATTGAAATAACACTCCCAGTCTTCACCACGGTTACCAGGTAACTGTTGTCGATTGTAATATTTAGAACCAGAATTTCCACACAAAATGTTCGATGATTAAAGTTGATTAAAGACTGAATATAATAAAAATAATAATAACAGTTACCTGGTAACTGTGGTGGGAGTGTTACTTCATTGATGTTTAGAGTATTGGACATGCTTGATGTTGGAAAGATTTATGAAATTATTGTCTTGTTCGTCCATCCGGTACTATTGTCCTTCCCAAAAAAAAACCACCAGAAAATTCTTAAAAACTGAATACTTCAGAGATTTTGTACCGGGAAAGAAAAGACACCCCTCTGTATACGAAGATTCGATAACCTTTTCCCAAAAACTACCATAAGAATGTTAAAGGTAAATCGTACTACTGCCCTTTCCCAAAACATTTTCAGTAAATTCTTAAAAGCTGAATACTTCAGTGAGAGAATCTTGTACCGGGAGCTCTGGGTTACCTCCCCAGAAACTGAAAGATACCCCTCACTATGTGTCGATTAACTTTTCTCAAAATTACCACAAAAATGTTAAGAACAACAGGAAAATAGTTATCGATCTATCTTTTGCTGGGGAGTATTCCATACTTCACAGACCCCCCGGTACTCTTGTCCTTTCCCAAAAAACTACCAGGAAGTTCTGAAGAGTTGAATATTTCACTGAGAAAATCTGGTAGAAACGACAAGAATCTTAATAGCAACAGGAAAATAGTTTTAGATCTTTCTTTTGCTGGGGGGGGGGGGGGGTATCATTGTTATTAAAATTTCACATAAAAATCATCACAAATAATATCACAGAGTCAGTAGGTAAAAATTGTTAAAGTAAATAATAGTTATTTATTATATAAAACGATAAAGAGATATTTTAACCATTGACTTTCACGAAATGGTTAGTTTCCCTTTATCGTGGTGCATAATACTAAACTTTATTTTATAGCAGGAGCCATACAAATCATTGTAAAGCTTCTGACATTTCCCTCGACATTTCTGAATTTAATTTAGAGCATTGTCGTATGTTCTGAACGTCGTTTTATATCATACTTCGCGTCCCATTTGAAATAAGAATGACAGATGTCATTAGAATGCACAATCATTTCACTTTAACTATATCCTTACAGTTAACGTAATCACTTTATCCTTCTCTCACGGTTAAAGAGCGACTTAGCATACTCATTCAAACCTATTGGCTATGACCTAATAAGTGGACTTCTGCTCAAGGAACTACCAAAAAAGGGCATTATGAAGCTGACGCATCTATTCAATGCAGCATTACGATTAAAGTACGTACCGATGCAGTGGAAAATTGCAGAAGTTATTATGATTCCTAAACCAGGGAAGCCGCCCAATGAGAAAGCATCATACCGACCGATTTCACTATTGCCAACCATATCCAAACTATTCGAGAAGCTGCTTCTGAAACGCCTCAAGCCTATTATTGAGGAAAAGCAGCTCATTCCAACTCACCAGTTTGGGTTTCGGAACAAACATTCGACCATTGATCAAGTACATCGAATCACCGATACAATTGAAAGAACCCTAGAAAAAAAAGAAATATGCGCAGCGTTATTTCTGGACGTGGCCCAGGCTTTTGACAGGGTATGGCACGAGGGCCTCGACTACAAAATAACTAAAAATCTGCCTAAGCAGATGAGCCACATTCTAAAGTCATATATCTCTGGCCGCCAGTTCAGGGTGAGATATGGCGAAGCATACTCTGGACTAAAAGATATTGCCGCAGGTGTACCGCAAGGAAGTGTCCTTGGGCCAGTTTTATATTTGCTTTACACGAGTGACATCCCTATGAGTGTAGAAGTGACGACAGCCACATTTGCCGACGACACTGCATTACTAGCCACAAGCAACGAAATACAAACAGCTACAAACAAACTACAAGCAGCCGTCAACAACGTCACCAATTGGACTAAAAAATGGCGAATCAAACTAAATGAGACCAAGTCTACCCACATAAACTTCACAAATAAAAGAATTAATTACTTACTTGTAGTGATCAACCAGCAAATAATTCCTTACGCTAACACAGCTAAATACCTGGGCATGACACTAGATGCCAAACTCAGGTGGAAAGAACATATAAAGAAAAAACAACACACAAAAAAATCTAATGTAAAAATTATTCAAACTTTTCAAAACAAAGTACTGCGCAGCATTGTAAATGCTCCATGGTACATCAGAAATGAAGACATCCACAAAGACCTAAAAGTGCCTATGGTCAACGAGGTGATTAAACGGTTTGCGGAAAAACATGAAACAAGATTACATGAACATGTAAATATCGAAGTGCTACGACTACTCGACAACAGTGGACTTATCCGTAGATTGAAAAGGCAAAAACCCTTCGAACTAGTGTAAGTTAAGTGAATCAAGGGCAATTAAAACATGTGAAACAACTAAACAAGTGTTTTTTAACATATGTGGAGTGCGCCAATGGGAGTACATCCACCAATCGCTAAGACTTATCTAGATTTAAGACTGTAGACTTAGATGTAGGTAAGAAACTGTTAAAAACAAATTGCTACATAGTACCTACTAGTTGCAATGTATACGCCTAGTGCGTGTTTAATAAAAAAAAAAAAATTCAAACCTATTAAAATGTCAATTTAACATATGCTATAAAATAAATAAATAATTCGTATAAGTACTGATATCGAATACGAACTTCTGACTATGCAGTGAAGATTGTATGAAGCACCTCACGGATTCACCGAAAAATCTATGATTACCCCTCAAAATTCTCACATTAATCTGTAAGATTTTCCAACAATAAATTATTATTCTTATTATATTATTATCCTTCTTGTTTGTTTGTGTTGATACATGTTACAGATAAAGGAGAAGAGCGCTCTTCTGAGCTCAAAAAACCAGGGTTCAAAGTAATCTTTTTATTTTCGAAGACTCCTTGATATAACGTTTGATTACATACTGGTTTTCGGTACAATCTAATTGTAATTCCTACATTTGTTTGATACTTATCTAACAATTGTAGCTTCGTTATTTTCTGCGGAAGTCTGTTTTGGTATTAAAATTTCCATGACTAGGGAGTTGTTATTAAATTACCCTCGACTGCGAAATACTATTGTTTATGTTCTACCCTTTCAATTATTTTGTTTCTTTAGCTTATCAAGAACAGAACAAGGATAAAGGATAAAAAATAAAATAAAAATAAGATGAAGGGATGATCCTAAAACGTTGACTTTTCGTTCAACATTGACACGGTTCTATCCTATTTTATTCCTATATTTCGACTCTGGATTGTGAATTACCCTTGAAAGTATTTATGTAATTATTATTGTTTGTTTCAGGACATCGATCCATCTTCTACCGTCTACTTTGTACGGGAGGCGTTGATCCCAACGACATAGACAACGCCACGGACAACAAAGAACACAGACTGATGGTGTTCTTCCGCGACTACTTCGCCAAATTTTTAAATAACAGCTTTGCGAAGATCTTAATAATAACAACGTTTTTACTCTACCTACTCGGCGCCGGCTACGGGGTCACGCAAATCGAGGAGGGACTCGAGCGTCGCAAAGTGGCCAAATCGGATTCGTACGCGATCGAATTTTTCGATCGGGAGGACGACTACTTTCGAGAATTTCCCTACAGGTACGTCCTCTCCTGTGGATTCTGTGTAATTTTTCCCATTTTAGAATCCAAGTGATAGTGAGTGGGGAGTTAAACTATTCTGATCCAGTAATTCAGAAGGAAGTGGAGCATTTGACGCAGACTTTCGAGAACACTTCGTATGTTTCTGGTTCTTTGTACAGTGAGTCTTGGTTGAGAAGCTTTCTTTCGTACGTTGAGCACAATAATGATTATTTAAATATTACAATCGACAATGAAAATGACTTTCTAAGTGCATTAAAGGAGGTAAGTGAGAGTTGCTCGTGACATAGGGGACTCTCAATACAATTGTAGCACTGGTTGTACCCTTCAAGTCAATACGCTCTAGATGTCAAATTTAACAAAAACGGTACAAGAATTCAGGCAATGCGGTTCATGATCCAGGCAGTTAATATTTCTGGAACCGAGCATGAAAAAGAGATGGTTCAGGCCTTAAGACAAATCTGTAGCGAGTCACCTCTAAACGTTAGCGTTTTCCATCCGTACTTTGTGTTTTTCGATCAGGTAGATCATTAAACAACCCGATAATGGTGTGCCTGACACGATTTTATTACAGTTCGAGTTGGTAAAGCCGATGTCAATCCAAAACATGGTAATGGGTGCTATCATAATGATGGTGATATCATTCCTATTCATACCGAATCCATTGTGTTCTCTGTGGGTCGCCTTCAGTATAATTTCCATAGAAACTGGCGTCGTAGGTTACATGGCGCTTTGGAAGGTGAACCTGGATTCAATCTCAATGATTAACTTAATTATGTGCATCGGATTCAGCGTCGATTTCACTGCGCACATCTGTTACGCGTACATGTCTTCGTCAGCAAAACACCCAGACAAGCGGGTGCAAGAATGTCTATACGCACTTGGTCTACCCATCTTCCAAGGAGCCTTCAGTACAATACTCGGCATGGTCGCACTACTACTACCCAACAACTATTTATTCAGCGTATTCTTCAAAATGGTGTTTTTGGTAGTATTCTTCGGTGCAATGCACGGATTATTCCTTCTCCCCGTCTTGCTCTCAATATTTGGACCGGGATCTTGTACAAACTACGACGATCCAGACGAAATCAAGTTGTCATCAATTGAGAAAACGTTCCCGCGTCCATACTGCATACCACACCCTCAATTTACGCTTAACGGCTCCAACTTGGGAAACAACCTTAAGGGCCACAATCTATCATTGGAAAATAAACCGGGGGGTCCAAAAGTGAACAAGGCCTATGTTGACCTTGAAAAAGATCTGGGCCTAGGCACGTCAGAGGAAAACTCGAGCGAGTCCAGCTCGAACAAGTCCAATAAGAAGAATATCTTGGACGAAGATATCAGCGCGTGGCGTCGAAGTTATAACCTCGACTTACCAGCGCAACGAGTATTGGATATATTTGGCAATGACACGGAGAAAGAGTGGCGTAAGAGTAGGGAGCTGTACGAAAGCCGCCGGAGATCCAGTGATAATTGGCGCAAATACCAAGATTCGTACAACAAGAGCGATGAGGAGAGGTACAATCGACGATGCACGCCTCCCCAAGAGAGCTACTACAGAAGGCCACTGAGCAGATCGAGCTCCCATCACAATTTACAGCACCCTCGGTATGTGCAAGAACTTAGATTTCCGTAATGGAAGTTAATTAGTGCATTCAATTAACATTAGCCGTAGTTAAAAGGGGGGGCGTGAGTGTGACTGGCAGCATCCGGCAGTGACGTTAAACCGGTGCTTCAAAATTGAGGTGTCAATACAATTCGTGCAGCAACAGTGAAACCGTGGCCAATCCGTATCAAATATACTGCCATACTGATTTAGTTATTTGTCAAACCAAAATCCAAAACCCGACTTTGCCATTTAAAATCCATATAGAAAAGGACTTATATTTATTTTTAAATTCAATCCTACGCTGCTACTTTAGGGATTAGGAGAAAATTTGTATTTATTTTTAGTTTGAATATTATTTTTGAATTTTTGAGTAAAGACTGACCAATAACTTTTAATGTTTAGCCAGTCGATACTTTTGCATAAGTAGTTAGCTAAATTTTGTATGTCTAATTTTGTGTATGTTTATAAAGTTATAGGTTTTTAATCTGTGTGTGCTCAATCAATTTTTAATTTGTACATAAACGTTCGAAATATATTTTTTAAATACGAGTAGTTGATATATAAAATTAAGTAAGAGGTGCCCATACATTAACTACACGTTTATGTATTATTATACAAAAATCTGTAATAATTTTAGTCAATAGCAACAGAAAACGATGTTTTTTTCATAGATCTGCGAATGTGCAAACCCAACTCTTAAATAAACGCTGGGTTTATTTTAATACAAAAATCTGCAGAAAATGTCTTGCAATTTCGTAACAAATAAGAAAGTATAAAAATACGCTTGGTATCGAAACTTTTTTGAGAAAACTTTTCTTCACCCAAAAAGAATTTCAATATCAACTTGCTACACGGTTATTACATTCTATTTTGTAAAGTTTTAGTAACATTTTTTTGGATTTCCTAAAAAAACCACTTAAAAAATAGGAACATCGAAAAAATCAAAGTAGGTCTAGGAGGTTTACTCAGTTTCTCATTCTGCAATAACTTTTCTTAATAATGTTTGTGCGTATCTCGTCCCCCAAGAACACTTCAGTCTTATAGTACTAATCTAGCACACACTGATTCGAATCTCAAAAAAAACACTAAGGGGGGCCAAAATTAGAAACAATGACGAACTTATAGCAGCTTAGTAAATAATTGCGTCATAAGGTTGTAACAAAGCACTCGTTTTCCTTCTTGAAGTTTCTTACCCAAAGTTATGACCACACCGTATCTTTGTTAAGGCGACCAGCTTAGCTGAACACCCGGTATCTAGAAGCATTTTAAGTTGGAAAGAGAGCTTTCGGCGGCTGTAAAATCAATTTAAATATTCCTATAGAAACGATTGCAAAATGATAAAACCACTACGTCACTTACGTGCGTTATCGGCGGTAAGGCAAACAATTAAACAAAATACAAACATACAAAGCTGACCCCTCGTCTCCTAGAGCAAATACGTAAATTCAAAAACTATTTAATGACGAAGCGCCCAACTTAAAACGCTTCTAGATACCAGGTGTTCAGCAACTGGTCGGCTTCACAAAAATCATAACTTCGGGTATAAAACTTCAAGGCGGAACACGTTCTACCTTTCATGTTATTCTAATGGAAGGTCTCATAAAAAAATCAATAGATGAAAGGAGTAGGGTGATCAGAAATTGGCAACTATGGCCTCTTACACCTTATCAAAATTGAGGGGAAGGGGGGAGACACTGGCTTTATTCTTTATGGTACTCTAATGAATGGTCTCAACACGTTGTTTCAATTTGATTTTATAAGAAGCATAAGCACTTTTACTATAACTTTTTTAATTATAAACGCAGAAAAAATTCCTTCCTTGGTGCAAGCCGCGACACAATAACGAACCAAATGGCGAAAAAGGTAAAACAATAGCTCCGATATTGTGACAATTTGAGGTTCTTTCTGTAGGCGACTAGTTACATAATATTTCCTATGTAGGTAAGACAAGGAAAACAAATTCAAAAAGGCGGTATACTGCTTAAGAACGATTTTATCGATAAAAAGTAACTCAAAAAATTGGTAGCCTTTTTCCTGTTGTGTTTTCAGAATAATGCAAAAAAGCAAGTCGATTAATATATAAGAATAGCCATTCTGTGACATTAGCTTAAACATGTTTCGGTAATATTTGACAGATCTATAACGTCATCGATATTTTTGAGAAATCGGAGGAATTAAGAAAATTATAAATTGTAATTATAAATCTAATTTTTGTTTCAATAATTATTCACGGCACACGTGATTTTAGTAAAGTAAAAATCAGTAAAAATTTTTACTAAAATCACTCGTGCCGCGAAATTTTTGAAACAAAAATTAGATTTTTACGCAAACACTAACTCTAATTAATTTATTTTTTCCGGTTTCCTGAACTGAAAAATAATAAATGAGAATCTGAGCAGACTCAGAATATTTCAAGCTACAATAAACCTATTTACAACTTTGCTCTAAATTAATTAGGGGAGAAAATATTTCGATATGAAGAAATTACCATTGAAATCCCTTATGGTGCATAAACCGATTCTACACCCTGTATTTAACTAGTATCGATAATATATTTGCAGCAACAGTTACCAGTAATATATTTTCGAAAGTAAAAAAAAAACTGGAATTTGACATAATGCAGATCATGGAACGGTACTAATTTTTTGATTTCTCAAAAAAAACGTAACATAGGAAATATTTGCTACTGCGAATAGCAGAATAGGTACACTGAGTTTAGTAAAGAACCATCTTCGTCTTAGTTGCATTTGCGATGCAAAAACTAAATTCTGTGAGTTTTATTTAACCACAATAGCAATAAAATGACTCTCCAATGGCCAATGGTAGCATTTGGGAAAATAAATGTGATTACCATCAACAACCGAATAAGATACGTCATATTTTCCAAAATTTCCAAACTTGCATTAATTTACCACGCAAAAATTAAATTTGGTGAATTTAAACAGCAATAGCAAACACGAGGCGAACGTTGTGTTCTGAAAGGGCCATCGAGACAAAAGTACCCTATTCCCAAGGATGGTCTATAATTTATTAATTGACCATATGATTAAATTAAAACCCAATCGTAAACGTATTGTGATTCTATACTTTCTTTAGGAAAATATTTTCAACATGTGTGTCCATAGAGATAAGACATTAGTCATAAACAGATGTGCCGTTGGCGTAAACAATCCAAAAGGATAGTTTTACTATTAAATGGATACATTTGGTTGCTTTGAATACAAACTTAAAATTGCACATTTTTTACGTAATAGCGGGTGGATCTATAAAAAACAATCAACGCGCAAAAAACTACACGAAAACCTGCACGAAAATGCTAGTAACATCGCTAAATATTAAAGATTAAACGATCGACTTCATTTTGGAAAAACCACAATTCTTATCTTACAGGTGAACTGGTTAATCAAATCAAGCATAGTAGAATGCGCTAAAATTGGACGATATTTTACACCCTCTTTGCAATTTGTGTCACTGTGTCGAAAGTTAAATTTGGTAATTTTTTTCAGGTTTTGGCACATTTCAAAATTTTTTTCGTAAAAGTAAAGTAATCGAGAATTATTGTAACATACGGATTTTCTGCAGCGTCCTCCATACACCACAAAAAATTGGGCGCTTTTCGTCTATTGACGCCATTTTATGTACGTACCTACAAATTTCAAGGTAACTACACATAAATACGAAATTAAAAATTTTTACGTTTCTGAATGGCTAATATGGCTGACATTCAGTATTGAAAACCTTGCTCCAATACAGCATTTGGGGAAGCATATACTTTTTGGGTTTACTAATATTAAGGGCGATGGACAAAAATAAGTTCGACAAACTTAAAATTAAAACCAGCAAACAAGAAAATGACTCACCCCTGCCGATCGTTCTTCCTCTGAATAGGCCACAGGAATCAAAACGTTCTTCATTATCACTAAATGTAAAAAAGCAATCCCGATTCACTACGCGAAAAAATACCACGAAAATCCGGACGAAGAATGTTACCTATACAGCGACAGTCCACGCACAAGAATTACTGTACAAATTTACTACATTTTGGGAAAACATACGTTCCTTATCTTGCAAGCTGCAAATGGGCCGGTTATTAATCGCTCGTATAAACGCGCGAATATCAACACGTGTACAAAATTGAACGATGTGACGATAACGCACCTGCGTATTAAAATTGGAACAATAGAGTTCGGTTTTTCCACTGTTCTTTTGGAGTTCTGGGTTCAAATTTTAACTGCCTCGATGAGGACAGCCATTCACAATCACAACTACAAAATTTAACAAATTTTCACCATTTTTCTCCTGTGGGGCTTTTTTGACGTGCCACGTTCTGGTACGAGGTTTTGCTAAACTTAAAAATGCATAATTAGATTCTCAATTGTAGGTTATTGAAATGCAAAAATCTTAATTTAACCTTTTCAGCCTTGTTCAATGTTGAGAAAATTTGAACAAATTTAATCGACTTGAACTTGGACGTGTGACCAAGCGCACGGCAACGTGCATACATCATTTTTTGTATCTCAAAATGCTAAATTAACACCAAAAATAGGCCGACCACACAAAACAGCCTGTTGGGTTGATATTGAAACAAAATTTAAAAAAATGATTGTCGTCACGTCCGTGGGTCCGTCCGTCGCTACATACTGTGTGTCAACGAATTTATTAGACAAGCCATACTTTCTAGAGTATTAGGTATATCCAAATGAGATTTGGTACAGGTAAATGGTACATGAACAGGAGAGTTTTCCATATTTTTCACTTTGCGCTCACTTCCCGTTTCACCGGAAACGGTCCAGGTTTTGAATTTTAAATGGAACAATATCCATATCAATTGTGTTGTACCAATTATCCAACTATTGTCTAGATAACAGTATTAAGCACGGGGGTCTTCATTTAAAATCCTTTACTCCGCTCTATGCGCATCAAATTTGGTCGGAGTGATAAAAAATGCGCTTTATCTGCAAGATTTGTGCACAAATTGAACTCATGGGCTGCAAGATATGATAACATCCCACAGAGTCAAACTTTTCGTTTGCACCCTGTATCTCAAAAACTCAAAATACTCATTAACAAATTGCCACAGAGTTGCGAAAATTGCAAGTCTCTAACTTTACAACCCAGATACACTGAAGTCTCAAGCAAAATAGGACAAACGGCACAATTTATTTGTGGATGTGCATTTAATTCCATCCTTTCCTTCCTTTTTTTTAAAATTTCCGAAAACCCGTCCAAAAATAAGAAAGTTAGCACTACACATGCACAACCGATTCTTTGACACGTCGTTTCAATTTGATTTTTTAAGAAGCATCTTAGCGTATACAATGTATAAGCACAATAAACGTATAAAATTATAGTATACGAAAAAGATTGATTTTTTACTATAACTTTTTTAATTATAAACGCAGATAAAATCCCTTCCTTGGTGCAAGCCTCGACACAATAAAGAACCAAATCGCGAAAAAGGTAAAACAATAGCTTCGATATTATGACAATTAGGGGTTCTTTCTGTAGGCGAATAGTTTTTCTATTGTAGTTACTTATAGTTTTCTATGTAGGTAATTTCTTCAAACTTCACAGATACTTTGAAAACAGTTGTTGTTCTTACAGTAGGATCGTAAACGTTTGCTTAATATTTGATCTTATTTTATATACAGTGTGTTCCCGGAAATTATAGACATATATCTATAAGATTGTTGCTTATTCCCAATAATTCTTAAATGTAGGTATAATAGTGACCGTTTTCACACAAGGGCCACAGGGTGGTGCGAAAATTGGAAGACCCGTATTTTAAGCAGAAAAATTACAAAGCGAGATAAGGAGGCCAAATTCGAAAATGCGGTACACTGTTTGAGAACGATGTTATCGATTAAAGGTAACTCAAAAAATTGGTATCTGTTTCCCTATTTTCAGAACAGTACAAAAAAGCATAGTATATAAGAATGATCATTCTGTGACATTAGCTTAAACATTTTTCGGTCATATTTGACAGCTCTATGACGTCATCGATATTTTTGAGGAATCGGAGAAATTAAGGAAATTATAAATATAATTATAAATCCAATTTTTGTTTCAATAATTATTCACGGCAGGAGTGATTTTAGTCAAACTTTTTACCAAGATCACAACAAAAATAAGATTTTTACGCAAATACTAATTCTCATTTATTTATTTTTTCCAGTTTCCCGAACTGAAAAATAATAAATGAGGACATGAGCAGACGCAGAACTTTTCAAGCTACAAATCACCTATTTACAACTTTGCTCTAAGTAAATTAATTAGGGGAGAACATATTTCGATATAAACCGGTGCTACACCCTGTATTTAACTAGTATAATATATTTGACACCAATACCAAGTCTGTAAGTGGTATAATTCCAGAGCCTTTGTGACTGAGACGACAGACAGACAGCAAAAATGCACTTTTTATTTTTTTAAAGTGAAAGTGCAAAAAGATAGTAGAAAATTGTTTTCTTAAGCAACATCATTGAATAAATTTTTATTCAATGGCAACGTCATAGGTATGGCACCCATCACAGCAAAATTGTCGCAAACGTTTCTTTCCAAGTCAGAAAATCTTCAATCTGACTATTAGGAGAGCATGAATCAAAGAATATTTAAATGACAACTTTGGTATAGGCAGCCAGCGCAGCGACGCTGTAGATTGTAGATGGAACTTTAGAACTACAATATTATTATCAATCTATTATTTATTGATTACAATTTGCAGTTTTGAATTTTTCATCCAATCTCGCAGAAACTATACGTATATTGAGTAAATCTTCACTCAACGGTATAATTGATGTACCAGATATACACGTAACGTATTAAACACCTACTAAGTACTAGCACAGATTTAAACACTTAAATCTGTGGTACTAGTACAAAAGCACTAGCAATTACAAAATAATCTTTTAAAATATATTTTTGTGTGAAGTTCGCGTTTATGCATTTTGTCAATATGGAAAATTTTCAGAAACTCAAAGAAGACTAGTAATGTTTTAAAAATAGTTACTAAATCGCATCACCGTTTCACGTATCAGTCAGTTCAGTTACGTTTTTCTTTGCAAGTAACAAATCATCAATCTGGCTATCAAGAGAACATGAATCAAAGAATATCTATAGATTTTCGTTTGCGACTAATAGTAAAAAAATTTCCAGCACATCATATCATGCTAATAGAGTTTCCATCAGGACAATGGTGAAGTACTGCAATAACAAACGGTTAGATGTCAGCGTGCGCGTTTTCACTTGAGGAAAATAAATTTTCCTAGCTGTGGAAAACAATTGAAAACGCGGTGCTAACTTGCATACATTACATTTCAACCACTAGATAGGGCTAACCGCTCCTAGACCACTACACACTTTTACAAATATGTAAAAACAATAATAGGTAAGGTACACATTCAGAGCTTTTCAGCGGTCATGTTCCAAAAATTATCGTTTGGTACCTGACTGGAAAATCGTTCTTATAAATATAATATCAAATAACACTAAAAAATTAGTAAATAAGAAAAAGAATTAAAGAAAATAAGAACTGAGTATGGCTGATGAGCCCATAATGGTAAAATGTGTACTTTCAACAAGTAAGAAAATCGCTAATCTGGCTATTAGGAGAACATGAAACAAAGAGTATTGGAAATACAATTTAAGTTGCTCGATAAACAGCTAGCGACATCTGTGGTATGTCGCGCCTGGTTACAACGCTATAATGTCATAATGCCGTTTCAATTTCTCAATAGGAAAGTACCACATCAGCGCGGCTAGATGTCAGAGCAAGAGTATCCATTTTCATGCAAGAAAATGTGAAAAACTATTGCTTGACGACTGTCATTTCAACTACTTCTATACAGACCCTTCCCTTCCGTTTGTACAAAAGGCTGGGTCCCACACCACATGCCAATATTTTGAACATAGTAATCAGGAACCCATATCAAAAAAGGGTACCGTTCGTTGTTTGGATTGTACAGACATTGAATTTGATAGTTATAAATTCAATGGTACAGATTATATGATCGTTGAGTGAAGGATTATCATTGAATTTATAAATAGTTATAAATTCAATAATGGGATTATGCTATTTAATTACTCAATGCAGTCATAGGAAAAGTCCTGGTCTCATGCATGAAATAGTACCTAAGCCTAAGTGAAGGAAACACCGTTCATATCCAAAACAAGTATATCCGGGCAAAAGAAATCTCGTACGTTATGATTGTGCGATGATGCCAGCAAAAGTACTTCTTACCGATTTTTCCAGACCTTAAACGACCAGATTCCTTTTTGTGGAACAAAAGGCAAACATTCAATTTGTTTTTAAATTCAAATCGTTCTGAGATAGAAAAGTTAAAAACACAACTCAACTCTTAGCATGCTCCTAGAGTGCAATATAAAATGACACAAAAACGATAATAATTAATGTATTACATAGTGAATTGTACTAAAAAGTGCAGCTGTGATTTGTGAATATATTAATTTATTTATTTGATCTAAATTTTCCATAAAAGACATCCAAATAGTAGGGTTCTACTATAGGTATGCATAATAGACCAAACTCAAAATACTACAACTTCCAACAAGTACGAAAAACGCCAATATGCCTATTAGGAACACATGAAGTGAAAGAATGATTACCTTATAAAATAACACCTAGCGAGACCTGTGGTAGACGGAGCTTAACTACAGGACAAAACGTGCGGTTTTTCTTGATCAATAGTAAATTTATAAGCCAGTAGATGTCAGCACGAAACAAAAGGAAATTTTTCAAATACTGTTCATATTCATTAAATTCGTGCGTGAAAATTGTCACTATTTTCATAGTGAGGTATTCAATTATAAACTAAATATAAGTAAATAAAGTACGTAAGATAGGGCCACTTAAAGTAGTTTGGGCACCTTTGGCTGAAGTCAAGCGATGCACTGGACCTACCCTTAGATCAGACCTTCCTACCTATTGCTCAAGTAGGCAAAAAAAATTGTTTAAGAAGGAAACAATTGAAAATATGGTACGAGTGGTATTTTGTACCTCAGCACACTGCAAACGTCATAAATCATTTTTAAAAAGGTATATCCAGGGAGTAGCACCTAAGACCCCTCCGGAGTCCGACTCATAATTCCTTTACCATAAAAGATACTGCAAAATTAATTATACACATTTACCGTCCCTATATTTCTATAATATTTTGGATCACCAGGGGCGTGCTGTATTCCAGTGGCGTATCAAACTTGCGTTTTTTTAAAATGGAAAATCTCATATTTTATTATTGATTTGGAACGTACATGAAAAATTAATTTTTCTCCAACCACCTTAATAAGACGCTATTGTGTGACAGTGTTCGGTACGTAAAATTGGCGTTTTCCGGATCACCATGGCAACTGTACAAAAAGTGGGTACTTTTGGTCCTAGTACCAAAAAGAAATTGACCTTGAAAGTAGATCAATTAAAAAATTACAATCACGGAGATATGTCAAATTGACATCGTTTTACATTGCAGGTTGTCAGATATATACATACAAATCAAATATTTTTGCATATTCAATGCAAATAATGCTGTTACCTATACGTATGTACTTGTATTAAAATGATTTACGCTCGCGATTTTATTTAAACCATGTGTAACGTAATTTACATATTCGGTGAACGTAATTTTAATACGTAGACAACCCGCCGTCGCGCGCACCGCCATCTACTTCAGACCCATTGCACTATTATCTGTCATTTTGAATTCAAAATTTGAAAAAGTTTCTTAAGTTTACCATACCTTGAAGTGGTTGAGTTTAATGCGATGCTGCCAGGCTCAGATCAATGATCTAAGCTGCCAGGCTCCCACGAGCATCTCTACACCTTATCAATCAAGTTCAAAACCAATATTTGAGTAAATGTAATCATACGTGTACGCATTCGTGTACCTACGCTAGTCGCTAAGAAGTAAGAACCAATGAATAAAGAATATTCTTTATTCATTGGTAAGAACGAATAGGTTATAAGTTAACCTAAAAACTAGGGTGCCATGAGACGTGAGGAGAAGAAAGCAGAAGTTCTCAAACTAGTGGTGAAACTGTGAACTGAATGAAAAAAGGCGAAATTACAGTACAGATTGTCTTCAGTTTCAGTTTTTCAGTACTGTGGCCTTCCTAGCGCAATTGTATACAACAGTCATGCAGTAATAATGGTATTCTCTCCCTGAACCATTAAGTTTCTGTATTTTTATATTATGATTATTATCTCACGTTCATTTCCTGATGTATTTTCTGATTTGAGCCCAAATGAGGCTCTGTCAAGATTCGACAAATTCAAAACCTTGAAATGAGTGTCTTGACCGTTCTTCCTTTGCAACCTTCAAATGCAGTAGATGTAACATAATTCGTTCCACTCTTGTATGAACTTCAGGAGTTTCTTCAAATCCACAAATTTATTTTTAAATAGAAATCCATTTTTTTCATTTCTTAGCCCATCTTTGATAAAGAAACTAATGCACAAAAAGGCGAAACTACAATAAAGATTGTCTTCAGATTCAGTTTTTCATTATTGTGGTCTTCCTAGCGCAATTGTATAAAACCATCATCAAGTAACATGGTACTTCTCACCCTGAACCATTCAGTTTCTGTAGCTTGAAGTTTTGTTCAGTTGTTTAGCAGCAGGTCTATAATCTTAAAACAAGTGCCTTAACTTCTATTTTTTCTAAATTCCTTGTTCTTTCTTTTCCGAGTGAAAGCAGTAGTGATTGGATGTCCATGCATTAATTTAGGTACATACAATTTTACCAAATACTAAAGTACACAAAAATAGTATTCTACAATTTTACAACTTATACCAAAAAAACCATGACATATGGAATTTGGCATTATTATCTAGGTATAAATATTACTTTTTTACATATGTTAAATAATAGGTGTTTGTTGTTACAATAGAATCACATTACATGTATAAACAAAAAGGCTTTAAGGAACTAAGTATGTTACATATCCTTTTTATTTGCTAATTAGTCGTTTTGAAAGGCAATGGAATGAAAATTGTAGTTATTATTAATTAATACCTTTTTTGCCCACCTCAGCCAACTATAATCGCATATAAAGCACCTTTTCTTTACATTTTAAGCAATAATAAATATAATATTGGAAGTTTTAAGATTTATTTCACATACATACTGAAATAGACAATTATCTAGCACTGTCCATAGTATCTGCAGCCTTATTTAAATGTTTTGCAACATAACGCAATAGATCCGCCGTTGGAATCTTATCAAAAATACACAAAGCTAGCGTTTCGTATTCGTCCTCCATCGGTTTCGCTTTTGGTAAATGCTTCACCAAGTTTCCGCAAATTTTCAATATACTGTCCGACGAGGCAGTAGCAATAACGCAATCTGTCAGATCGTTTTCGTTAAGCAATGGCAATATCACATTTCTGGAAATATCCGTGCAAATTTCTTTACTTTCGACGCTGATCAAGATTCTCTCTATAAACGTCGTTAATTCTTTTTCTTTCATTTTTTTTCGCGTTATCGTACTGTTACCAAACTGCACCACGTTTATATGCGGAAAACTCGGTATTAAATCGTCGATGGAGGGCGTAAACTTACAAAATACATACTTAAAAAAACTCTCTACAGGAACGTTTGATCTAATACACATTTTGTGCATATCATTAATTATACTTTCTAAACCTAAATGTGGAATTGTCAAATCATACATTTGCAGGGAGTGTTCAATGCACGTGCTTAATACTGTCTTTGGTGATATGTTGGGAACCTTATTTAACACTGAGAAAAATTTCTGCAAACCCCCCTCTTTCACAATCTTGTCTAGCACTTCCGACCAATCTGCTTCTTTTATAAAAGCTGTCAACTTAAATGTGTCATTCTCTTGTAAAATTTCAATTAATCTGCATGGTTCAACCAGGCCCATTACAGCTCGACATAAATCTCTATCAACCTGAAACAAATTATTGTAGTTTAACGTGGCAATAAAAAATAATTTAAAATGCACCTCTTTCACTGCTCCCTGCTTTATGAGATTAATAGCTTTCATAACGACTTCTCCGGGATGCTGACTCGTAACAATGTCTTGAGAAGGTTTTACAATAGTATCATCCGATTTATGAGGAATTACTGTAATGCTTTCCTGTTTGGGACTAGGGGGAGGTTTAAATAACGCATTGTGATCCGAAAGTGGTGCCTGAAATTGTTGACTTGGCCCATTTCTTTCGATAACTGGTATAAGTGGTACTCGTCTTTTTTGTTTTGGCGGTGTAAAGATTTTGTTATTATTTTCGTGCCATTCTGTACAAACTTTTTTAGTTGCTTTTTCGGAAACTGTCATTTGATAGTTGGATAGAGTAGTTCGTAAATTGGTAATTTTCGGAGGCTTAATTGGTAAACGATTTACTTCTAATTCAGTCAGTTTGGCTAAATCTCCTATGGTAAAGACATTTTTTCTACGCAGTTCTTCTAGAAGTGCTGTGACAAATAGGGGATCACTCAAAGAAGCTGAAACCTCCTCAACGCTTGCCCCACATTCAACAAGCTGAGGAAATACGGCGTTATCTCTGTCTAACAAGGCGACATCTGCAATCTGGATTGATCCTTGTGTTTCGGTATCTGGTAAATTTTCCGTTTGGACATCGACATCAACAAGTTCACATACGTTATTGTCGTGGCTCACAATAATTTCATTAACCATTGTGTCAATATCCGTGTGTGTGGATTCATTTTCCCCAATTTCGACACTGTCCACGCAACTGTTTGCCGTTTTAACCTTATTAATTATAATAATCTCTCGGCCATGCTCATTTATGTCGGGGATGTAAAATTTCTTACTTGTCACCTCAGGGTCTGAGTAATTCACACGTTTCTGTTGAATAAAAAACAACAATTAAACACTTTACGTGTCCGCAACATGCAGGGGGAGCCATTAGTACCACTGTGATACACAAATGGATCACTAAGATGCGCAAAAATTCAGCAAAAGCCAAAAGGTGATCCAGCAACAGTGCTAACAAGAGATTATTATTATTATTATTCCCTTCCAGTCGATCTTTATAGTCTAGTATAATGAAAGGTATGACAATGTGTGGCGCAGTTCAGTTGAAGCTGGACTGTGGTACTAAGGGTCCCTGGTTCGAATCCGGGTTCGGCATGGATATTTGTAAATGTATAGTGGGTTGGGTTGGTAGAGCAGCCTTGGCTGAAACCCCGCCCACTCAAAAATAAAGGCAAATAAATAAATCATAACAAAACTCTTTGGTGTAGGATAACCTCTAGCCAATGCTACAAAACAAAATGAAGGAGGTTACCATAAAAATAATCCTGCGATTAGAAGGTTATTTAAAGGTCGCTCTCTTTCTCTTACATTTAATGATGAAGTTAAAGGGGAAAGAATACGAATGCATTTAACTTTTACTAAATTTATTGGACGGAAATGCGTATATATTTACTCGTTGCCCCGGAAATGCCTCCCATATACAGCCTTGAACATAAAAACAGTACACCAAAAATTGCACTAGAACAACAGTCGTTTGTATTCAAAGTACTGGTGATAAAATATTCAAAGATAAGTAGTACAATTTAAGATGCACAAGGAAAGCTTCCCCTTCAGATGGATAATTACTGTTCTTTGTCCTAGAATTTTAAGTATGATATATAAAGTAGTTTGAATGAATCAATCAGTCGGTCTTTTCACAGGATTAGGAATGTGTAATGGGTGGTCAGTTTAGAATTTCAGAAGTTTGAATTTTTGTTCAACTTTTAATTTACAGATATACCGCTTCATAGCGAACGCGAACAAAAGTATGTCTCAAATAAGAGCGATAACGCGTGCATTTCCATAAGAACGTAAGCTGTTTTTAAGATCAACGCGAGAGAGACCAGATTGTAAGGGGGCTTTCGGCAGACGAGGAGTGACTTTCAACGAATTAGCACGTCGATTACGTCGTTGGGAAACATTTAAACGAAGTCGCAAAGTACTAGTTACCAACGAGTTTAACTTACGAGTGATAAAATTTACGCGAAGAGGCATTTTAGAGTTGGAGATGCGCCTTTCAAATAAAAACAGTCTCAGTTATCCGGGGTAAAATTTTACGTGACCAGCTGATGCCTCTTGGACAATAGAAAGCGGCAACAAAAACAGCACTATCACACCAGGTTTTGACGAGCTAGACTAGAAACCAATTTCGAAAGAAAATTCAAAGGGCTGTAACTTTTGAACTAGTAGCCCAATCTTAGAACTGTTTGAAATTATGGATTCTACAGGCCACATTCTATAAGAAAATTTTTTTTCCGGGTCGATCAGAATTTTTTTTCGGGGCTCAAAAATCGACTAGAACAAAATTTCTCGGGAAAACACTTTTTCTTATTAATTTGGGTGCGTAGAATCCAAATCAATTCGTACTTTTTCGATCAGACTTCTCAATCAAAAGTTATAGACTAGAAACCAATTTGGAAAAAAATTCAAAGGGCTGTAACTTTTGAACTAGTAGCCCAATCTTGGAACTGTTGAAATTATGGATTCTACAGGCCACATTCTATAAGAAAATTTTTTTTCCGGGTCGATCTGAGACAATTTTTTTTTCGGGGCTCAAAAAAGGCAGTGTATAACCTTCCTTTTTTACCAAAAATCGACTACACCAAAATTTCTCGGGGAAACACTTTTTCTTATTAATTTGGGTGCGTAGAATCCAAATCAATTCGTACTTTTTCGATCAGACTTCTCAATCAAAAGTTATAGACTAGAAACCAAATTCGAAAAAAAATTCAAAGGGCTGTAACTTTTGAACTAGTAGCCCAATCTTGGAACTGTTTGAAATTATGGATTCTACAGGCCATATTCTATAAGAAAATTTTTTTCCGGGTCGATCTGAGACAATTTTTTTTTCGGGGCTCAAAAAAAGGCAGTGTATAACCTTCCTTTTTTACCAAAAATGGACTACACCAAAATTTCTCGGGAAAACACTTTTTCTTATTAATTTGGGTGCGTAGAATCCAAATCAATTCGTACTTTTTCGATCAGACTTCTCAATCAAAAGTTTTTTTAATTCAGATTATCTGATAACACGCAACTACTTACATTTTACGCCCTTTAGCGGTCGATTTGAACTTGCCATAACCGTAACAGGGATGGGGCGCAATGGTGAAGTGTAAGATTTTAATGCTGCACTGTTAGGGGATGTGGTAGCACAACCTTGTTAAATGAGCGACTGTGAACATGTTGTATTATATTTACCTTTCGTGGAGGGGATGATCCTTCCTCATCAATGACAGAAGCTTTCCTCTTCAAAATGGTACAACTGGGAGACGCGCCGGGAGGTGGAATTTCTCTGGCAAAATGCAAAAGGTTGTCCATCACTTCCTTTTCGTATTCCACATTCGGGATAGGTACGCCATCGATTTGTCGATGAAACTGCAACTCCTTCTGACACTTTTGCATTGTTTTCATCATCCTTCGAGTTTCCGCCGACACGAAAGCCCGCCTCCTCGCGTGTTTGGCGGGCGACTTTGCTAGTTTACTAGTGGCGGGAGACGAATTTCCGGAGGCTAACTGGAGCAATCGTTCCGCGCGCGTGCTGCTACTGGATTTTTCAACAAACGCAATCTTCGGATCTTCGGGTTTCGGTGGGATTTCCACCTCTTGTCGGACAATTCCGTTTTCGGCGGTAGGTTCGGATTTTATTTCTGATTCGAGGATTTCCCCCGGTGCTTTTTCGACTGCGATCGGTGATAAATCTTCAGTCACTTCGATTAACTCGGCATTTCTCGTTGGTGTTTCAAGATGCACCGGAGATGATTCTATGTTTACCAATTTGCTCGGCGTTTCTACACCCGCTTCGATTTCCATTTCTTCCAAATCGAAATCATCGTTGTTTACTGTCAAATCAATTACAGCAGATATTTTTTCATCGGGAAGTTTATGCAATTCTTCAATGGCTTTAGTTTCGTCATCTTGATGCTGTAATGGTTCAACTGATAACTCCTGGGAAGACTCAATCACGTCCTCACTATTTTGAGCAGTATCCACAGTTTTAGACGTTGGTTCTGTGATGCTCTCCAATAATTTTCGTGCATTAACATACTGTTTAGGAGCTGAAGTCGGAGTACTGCACTGCTCAGTTGTTTCAAGTTGAACCTTTTTTGGTTTGGCTTTCTTTGGCGTTTTAGATCCACTGTCTGAGTGAGGATTTTCCGAATGACGTCGAGTGGACCGTTTACTTGTGACATCTACTTTGGTGAATAATTCGCCACCGACCACATCCACCTTCAGAGTTTTAAGCAATCTTTCAACAGGGCCCAACTTTTTAAGGCTGATCTGTACAGTAGTGCCTGTATCATTTTCACTCGCCACCACAGGCTCCATTTGTACCTGGGTTTCATTTTCTACATGATTTGGCGGTGGATCTCCCTCTTTCTCATCGTCTTTGGTACCACTTTGGCCAACATTCTGATTTTCGGACTGAAACAAATCCGAAGACTGGCCATCTAAAACTGGATTCGGCTTCTGAACATCGACCAAAGCACAAACCGAGTTTGATTGGCTCTGCGATAAATCCTGGTACAACGCCGGTATATCAGACCTATCCTTCTTCAACATCTCCAGCTGATGGTCGTTTAACTTGCTACGATCAAATTTGTAATCGGAATCAATGGGTACATAAGTAGCGTCGTCGTCAAAGATACTAGACGGTTTGGGTATTTCGGGCTTTTTAATTCTTTTTGATTTAATAGGATTGTTATTGAGTTGACTGCCTCTAATAGTCCCACTGGGAGATACCACAGGCTGACCAAACAAACGCAAAATCGTTGCATCCTCAGAGGTTGGCGTTTCTCTTTTTGACATCGCCACCATCTTCGTACTGCGCGATAAAATATTCGGTTTCAGAAATTTCTTTTCCAAACTGTGGATCTTTTTCAATATGCGATCTGCTTTAAATGAAAACTTTTTATCGTCGCCGCCTACTAAGTCCGAAAGTGTGCGAATTAGTGATTGGGGTATCGATTGCTTCAGCGATTCTGGAATGGATTCCAGAAGCTTCTCAAAGGGTACCAAAAGGTCATATTTCTATAAAATTATAATCAGCTTACGAACGGGTGTATTTTCAATACCTACTTTAGAATTGGGAAGTATCAAAGTGAAACATTCCAATACTGTTACAAACTTGACAGAATCGTGTTTTTCAATAGACCTCTTGTAAATGGTTAGTAGAACTGGTACCAATTGTTCTAATTCACAGGAAGTTAATTTGGAGTTGTTCAACATAGTAAATGTTAATTTCAATAGAGCATCATCTGCAAATTGATACCAATTAGCAATTGATCAAATACTATCAGGTATCAGGAAACAAGAAGGAAGATTTTGTGTGAAGTACCGGAGACATACCTATCTTATCACTTTTTCCTAAGTCCTTAAACGAATTATACAGCAAAGATATAGTCCCGTATGTTTTCGGTCCAATTATAGACTCCAATTGATTAATAACCATTATCGCTTCCATCTCACTGTTATTAGCCAACTGTCGAAATAAAGTTGTCCACTTACATATAATTTCCTGAAACAAATAAATTGTTCGAAAGTGCTTCAACTAAGGGTATGAAATCAGTACTACACTGGAGTGTCGATTATAACTACAGGAGGTAGCCACGAAAATTCAGAAATGGACATCGTCGGCGGCAAAGTAAAAAAAAACGGCTACGCCTAATAACAGTCGATTGTAACATTCTCAACATTATCAAAGCCCCAAAAGACTACAAAAAAGCCTAAACTAAAAAAAATTAGCCTTGAGTTCACGTTAACAGTGCTCCAAGCTAAGCCTATTTAATCAATTTAATTTCAGATGTAAATAAATGTTTATGCTGCATTAAGAAACGAATCAATAGAATTAAAAAGCAAAGCAGATTAGTAATCACAATTAAATTGTCTTTCAAATAATGTGCCATTTGCCATAGGATTCCATTTAAAATTTTAGGGGTTAAGCTCCCTACATAGAGGCGTTCGCGTGACGAGGGGTAAACCGCTGGAGGAAATAGTGTACAAGTTGGAGGGAATTAAGAGGGAATTAGGGTATTTCGAAGGTATTAAAAGGAATTAATAGGTATTTTGAGAATTACCGAGGAAATTAAAGGTATTATGAGGTATTAGTAGGGAATTAAAAGGAATTAAAAGGAAAAGGAGGAAATAAATAGGTATGCGCATGCGCTAACATACATCAGAATTAAAATGACGCATCGTTTTACATCAGTGACTCGTATAGTGCATACCTCGGTGCATACTAGCTGTAAACTGTGACGTGCCGGTATAATATTTGGTATAAGATTTTATTAAAGATGCTTGTTTGTATTTAAATTTTTTATTACTCTGTCTTGGATTAAGTATCTTTTGTTTGTTTTGGTAATAACATTATGTACTGAATAAATTAATATTTTTTTATGGAATTCATATTTTTTAAACTTCACCACTTGCTTACCTATGAACCAAAAATAAATTTATATTTTAAAACGTTTATGTTACTACGGAGAAATCAATAAGTTCAATAAATAATTTTAGTAAAGTTATAAAGGTAGATATTAGTCTTTTTTTATCTATTTTGTTTATTTATTGCCCCTCTCTTGTTCCGTGCCCTCAACAGGCTTGCGCACAGTTACAGAGTGACCCGCATAATGCTTTCAAGTTGTTCTATACTACTCCTGTATATTTACCTTACGAATTAGGGAAACTGCAGGAAAACCTAATTCAGAGTAGCCGGCAGAATGCTCGAAACTGATCTAAGGAAATTCCTATCTCTGATAGAAATGAAAAATTCTTACCTCAGCCCAGGTTCGAACACCCGTCCTCCGGCTTTGTAGCCCAATTATAGAGAATAGAGCTGTTGTAAGAATTATGGGGAATTCAGAGCAATAATGTAGGTAGGTATTAATAGAAAATAAAAAAAATTGTGGAGAATTGAGAGCATTATTAAGGTATTAATAGGAACTAAAAACGTTTTGCGGAGTTCATGGCTATAATTAAGGTATTAATAGGAAATAAAAAAATTAGGAGGAATTAAGGAATTAAAGGGAATTAAAGGGAATTTTTTTCAGGAAAAGGTATTTGGTGTACAAATTTTTGCTAGCGGTTTACCCCTCGGTTCGTGATTGTATTCCAAAAGTTGTCCCCCTTGAAAAAAATTGATGTGTTTCAATTTTTCGAAATTTCTAAATTTAGTACCCTAAAAACGCCCTCTGTATACTTCTCGTTGAGCCACTCTGTATTTGGGCGTATTTGAAAAGACAGTCTGTCGTGTTTAATGGTAAAGTTGTGTAGAAGAAAGAAAGCTAGAGTGTTTCAAGAATTTTCTTTACGTCGTAATAAAAATGAACGTTAAGTCGAGGTAAGAGGAAACGTGCAAGAGTGCTATGGATATCGAGCGTTTGTCACTAAAGAGAAGCCTTTCTTTAAGGTCCTCAAGTTATCAGTTAAAAGGACTTTTTCCACCACCAAAGCGCTCATACTATAATTGTAATTAGAACGAAGTCAGCGCCATCTAGATTCAAGTGCAAGTTAAGTCAAAGAAGTGAAGTTTAGAAGCATCATCAGCTTGGTTGTTGTGTTATGTGTTAGCGCATCTGTTTGTTGAAAAGCGCAATTATGTCAGGATGATAAGATTATTTAACTTAAGGTAATTAAAACTTATTTTTGTTTTTAATCCATCGTTTATTGCGTGGTGTGCTTTATCTGGCCCTCAGTGCCATTTTTTTCGGTTTATTTGATTGATGTTGAATAAATTTGTTTAATCTGAAAATGAATAGTTTTGGGTTTAGTCATAGAGTAAATAATATAAAGAGGGATAGGATATTGTTGCAGTAGAAAATCTTGTAAGGAAGTGTTGCTATCTTGTGACTGTTCTTCAAAGCTGTTGTATCGCTGTATTACCATATAGCAGCATGTAACCTGTATTACCTATTTAAATATACTGACAACAAAGTTGAGATTTGAATTATGTCATTACTTTGCACCAGACACAGACCATGATACTGTCAGCATTATATTTAATCACCGGAATCTGATATTATGCTTCCGATGCAAGGAGTCTTTTAATTCTTTCAGGCTATAGACCTATTTATTTATTTATTTATTTTAACGCCTTACCTTACCCAATTAAGGTAAAAGCACCTAAAATGGACCACGCACCAAAAATGAGTCACTGAAAATAATGCCTTAAAAACAAGAATTCCCGACATTGAGGGGAAGTGTTATATAAACAATGAGTAAGCCTATTCATTACAGAAGTACCTGAAAAGGGTCGCGTTATGATCGTGTTGCTGTATTTTAAACAATGAAAGCATTTATGTAGTGTCGTTGTACTTCTCGTTCTCAGTGTTCAGTAGTTTTTCTAAACGTTCATGCTAAGGAGGTAAGTTAATTCGTCATTTTTATTTTACTTTCGTATTGCTTATTTTTCACCAGAATGAGACCTTATACTAACTTAGAGAGCTTTCTTTAAGTCATGTTATATAAATCTATTAAAAAAAACGAAATATCAATTAATTTTAGGGGGGGGGGTCATTTTAGGAACATTAAAATGTCCAGGGCGGCCACGTGGCCCAATATAGGAGCATGCGCCAAAATCGTGCTTAAGGTTGAAATATGCATGGCATGAAATACTAATTCGATCTGTATATGTGACAATGTTATATCTGGACGCGATCCAAAAATGGGCCGCGGCGGCCCATTATTGGTACATATGCGTCCCACTATAGGTGCACCGATGTTTGTTAAGAGTTATTTAGCAAAATATTTACTCCAATTTTAGCATTATGGAAAAATCTGGTAGAAAGAAATACCAAAAGTATACGGAAGAAAAAGTGAGAAAAGCCTTGGATGATGTAGACAAGGGAATGAGCATTCGAGCAGCGGCAATTGCCCATTCCATACCACGAGCGACCCTCCTTCGGAAATCAAAGGGAGGAATATTAGCTACCAAAACAGGACCATCCACAGTTTTAAGTGAGGAACACAAAAGAATAATCGTGTTTTGGATTAAAACCATGGCTAAAGCAGGATTTCCTGTATCTAAAGAAACCTTGCTTTATTTACAGCGTAGAAAAGCTGGCAAGTGAGGTTGGAGTGACATTTGCAGAAGGGAAGACAAGACCAGGAAGAAAATGGTATGAGTGTTTTCGAAAACGTCATCCGCAAATAAGTGACCGAACTAGTCAAAATTTGACGTCACAAAGAAAAGATGTCCAACAAGAAGATCTTGATAGGTGGTTCAACGAAGTGGAATCTTATGTCAAAGAAAACCAACTTCAAGCAGCATTCGAAGACCCTGCACGCATTTTTAATACGGACGAAACTGCGTTTTTTTTAAATCCAAAACCTGGAAAAGTACTGGCCGAAAAGGGAATTAAGAATGTTTATACTGACAGCCGCTGGTGCTGATGAAAAAGAAAATTTGACGGTTTTGATTACTGCAAATGCTGCAGGTCAGCTTGCACCACCGATGATTGTGTATAGGTACGTATTTATTATTCTTTTTTGATTCATATCCACAGTTCTTCTAAGTACTTGCATTTGCCAGTAGTGGAAACTTTACAGGTACGCAAGAATTCCCGCCAACATAGCTCATTCGGTACCACCTGGATGGGCAATGGGAAGGTCAGAAAATGGCTGGATGACGCAAGAAACGTTTTACGAATATATGGCGATTATATTCGAACCGTGGTTAACATTGACCAATATAGCCAGACCAGTGGTTTTTTTCATGGATGGTCACACGTCACATATGTCTCTACCATTGACTAATTTTTGTTTAAAGCATGAAATAGAACTAGTGGCACTTTTTCCGAATGCAACTCACCTTTTACAACCAACGGACGTGGCCGTATTCCATACGTTAAAAGCAACTTGGAAGCAAAAAGTATCGGAATGGAGAATGGCCAATGATGGGAAACAAATCGCTCCTGTGCTGAAGTCCGTTCTAGATGAATTGTTAGATAAGACAATCAGCAATGGATTTAAAGCATGTGGTCTTATGCCATGGGATTCAAAAGGGAAGTACCGAACCTGATGTGAGCAAAACTGATAGATCAACTAAAAATAAAGACTTGGAAATTTTTTTAAGAATGTTTCAACATGAAATAGGTGAAGCAAAATTGAACAATTTAAAACATGTCATGGAGAGTGGACAGGGTCAGTAGAAGATAGTGGTTTATATGCTATATGGAAAAAAACTACAGACCAATTAGATTTGGAGGTGCAGGTAGGTGCTTCAATAAATAGTATTAACTTTATTAGCATGTTTTATGATCAAAAGGTGGCATTTGTGGACGCAAAACAACCAACGGTTAGCACTCCTTCAGAATCTTTATCCTCAACTCCACAAAATGTTATTCTTGATGTTACACCAGTAACAGAACAACCGGGAACGTCATATGCAGCCCCAAAAACACCAACAGATGTTGATACGGGCGAGTTGTCAAATACGGTGGCAGCCTCGGGAGCAGCAGAATCTAGGTCAGACTTGCCTATGATTCCGTCACCATTTAAAAGGGCGTTTTTATGGCCGGTTCAAACAGCTGGCCCAAAAAAGAGAGCGAAGGAAAAAATTCCCGCTGTGTGTACGTCTCCAAGTATGCTCACTTACTATAAGAAGAAAGAGGAATTAAAGCAAAAAAAAAAGAAGAAGAAAAAGAAGAAAGAAAAATGAAACGAGAAGAAAAGAACCACAGAAGATTGACGTATGTTTTCAAAAAAAAAAGTTGCCGTCAATGAAATGAATGTAATATTTTATATTTTTTTTGTATTATAATACTTTTTTCATGACTGTGTTTTTTTGTAAAATCTACCATTTATTAAAATACTAATTTAATATTCTCATGAGTTCGTAACATTTCTTGTCTAAATCCAGGTTTAAACAGTATATAAAGTCATTCCAATGTTGGCTCAATTTTGGGGGGTCCATTATTAGATCTACACATATAAGGGGTGTTCATTATTGGTACATGCTCCCGAGAATGTTTGGAATTATCTAATGGTACTTTAGAAGGTGCATGTTAACGTTACATCCATTGATTATTGTAGACAAAAGTTGATAGTAGTAGAATCCGGCTTGCCGTCATTGTCATTGTCCTACTTCGAGAGAAACTGGAAATCAGTTTTAATTGCATTTCACCCTAAAAAAAATATAAGGCAGTAGCGACTCAATTTATTACGCGGTATTGCCATGGAACCAATTTCGTAAAAAAATATTATATTGATTTCTCACACATTTAGCGCCCGGGCTAGAATTTCTGTATCCAGTCGATTATAAACCCACAAATGGCGAATCCTCTTGTCTACATTCCCCGGGCACAAATTCACCACATTCTATTTGTTCACAATCAAGCGTTTGCGACGGAGAATGTTTTCCCATTATGCCTTCCCAAAAGATTGTATAAGACATTAGGCAGAACAATGTGATCTACCTTAGATGGAAATTTATTATCTGAATGGAAAATACCAAATCTTGATGCTAATATCCCGAATGCGTTTTCTAACGTTCGTCTAGCTCGCGATAGTCTGTAATTATATATTTTTTGCTCATAATGGAGTTGTTTTTCTGAATATGGCTACATTAAGTTGGGAAGAAAAAGAAAGGCATCATCCGTTAAAAAAGTACAGACGTGAGGAGTGTTTGTTCAAATACATCGCCATCTTCATAATTTGGCAGCTTGAAGGTAGAAAAACTACGTATAATACCCACAAATTTTTACACAGTCCTTTTCTTATAGGAAGAGATACAGTCCGAGACGCCACCCCTTTCCCCAACCCCTGGATTGGAAGAAAAATCATCATCGAGTACCGATATAATCCAACATTCTGAACGTGTACGAGCAAGGGGTAAACTAAATAACAAAAAAGAAGCGAGGATCCACAAGACTGTGGGGGTATTGAACAAGGAATGGGATGCTTTTGGAGTAGCCGTCGCTTTCATATTGAGGAAAATGGATCGGGGGCAAGCTTTTTTTAAAGTACATAAATTCTTAAAAACGACCTGCATTTATACAAACCATGGTATAATAACATATATTTAAAAACTTTGAGATAATTTGATCAAGACATCATCAATTCATGACTTTTATTACCGAGAAATTTCCACAGCTCTTGAAGTTGACAGGTTTTCCTGAGGCGTTATCACGGAGACATTGGGTGTTTGTAAACCTCTAAAAAATATAATGAAAAAAGGTAACCTATGATAATAATAAATCAAAAACCTTGCTTTTTCTTTCACATTCAGCGGGGTTGATGTTTACTGTGATGTGGAAGGTTGCATTTAGAATTCCGTTTTCCCTAAGCATAACGTTGGGGCTGTGTTTAATTTTACATGACAATGATTTCCCTTAATGTAAAAATCCTTTTTTTCAAAATGTTTCGAACAGATCAGTTTATATCGGGTAGTCTTCAAATCTAAATCCTGCCTCCCTAGAGCAATCAACCATTGTTGTAATCTGTGTTCGTCGCGTGGAAACCTAAAAGTATTTCTCATTAATTCAATTACTTGCGTCTTTATTCCGTTACTTATGGAAAGTGATGCCCTTCGGCTTGAAGCGGCGAATGTTCTTGCAATCTTTCACTATACAAGTCATTTCACGTGTTAAGGTTAACACTTAACCCAAAACATAAACAAAATACGACACAAAGGGTGTAAAAATGGCGGCGTCCATACGGTCGCGTACTTTTCTGGATGCGCACTCGTCGATCACCAATCTCCCCTCTCTAATGTCTCTGGCAAATATATTACTTTTAGCCAAGCAAGATTTCACTATTCCATGGCATGGAGTATGAGGCCATCGGTTCATAACTCGACCAAATAGTGAGGCACGCTCTCTTTCATATAAAACATTTCCAAATTGGCCAATGGTAGCCACAGCAATAGACTTCCGGTCTTCTGCGGTTACCTAAATAGATAATTTTTCCTAATAGTTTAAGGGTGTCTGTGTATGACATTAGTATACCTGCAGATCGTTCAATAATTTTCTGCATTCGATGGTTACCATTGTGTCAACATCTGGTTCCTCGGAATGTATACTGTCAACTGTCTTGGTGTTGATGATTTTTTGTGGCGTGTGCGAGTTTCGAAAGCCGTCGTTTAGCTTTGCTAGCAGCTTTAGCACATTGCTCATTTACGAATTTTTTGAAGTAAACTCCTGAACTTCTGGTAAATGTGTTTTTCCATGCGGGGATGGACCAATTGGGACCATTATTATAATGTAGACCCGCAAGGCATACTCGTGTACCATAAGAGTTACGTTGAACTACAGGTTTAGTCTTACCCATGTTAAATCTGGCTATGATATCCATAAGCCCTTCCACCGCCTTGTTATTTTCGTTGGCAATCAAAAGGTGAGCTTTCTTGGCTAAAAGATTATCACTACCTAAACAATGGTTGCTGTGATGGTAAGCATTAAAAATTAAAAACACTTTCAATGTGATTTTATTGTTTGTGTCTTCAATGTTGTTACATACTTCTTCCCTACATTTAAAATGTTCACCCATACACGTGATGCAATCTGTTCACCGAATTCAATTGGAGCATATCACTGTCCACATTTCGCCCTTTTCGTTAACTTTTTAATTTGGAGTAAAGTTTTCATCCAGCCAAACTAATGCCCAATGTCATTTTTTATGGGTCGGAGATTTAAAGCCACAGTTGTTCAAGGAATGGTTAGTGCACTCCATTTTCCTCACTTCTGCATCTTTCTTTTTATTCTTGCGTATACGCTTGAATCACGATCAGCAATAAATTCGCAGTACCGCATCCCATGTATCCCTTCGCTCTTTGTGAATCCTTCAACAAGCATATTTGCACCCATGAATAAGAATCTCTGTCTTTCCCAAATTTATGTTAAATTCTTAGATGTTGGCATATATATATATATATATATATCGCGAAATTTTGGGAATCTTAACTAGAATGGACAAGGGCGGTTTCCATGTAATTAATTTTTTTTTTAATTTACATTTTTGTTTTGTATCGTTCGTTAAGTACATCAACAGAAATTATTGTTACGAAAAAGAGGTCAAGGTTTGTAGTGTTTACATTTTAATCTCATCTTTAATTTTATTTAACGTAGATTTCTGAGAATTTTATATCGCTTTTATTCTGTTATCATTGTAAACGCTTAATTTAATTGACAGATGGATGTTATTTATCGCCTTTTCATTGTATTTAAAAGATAGAAAATTCTATTTTTCCTAGTATTTTAATTTTGTGTTATCTCTTAATGTCGGTTAAAAATTGATTATAAAAATAATTTCTACCTCTAGTTTAACTTACCTAAGTGGGGAAATTTTCTGTTGTCAACTGCTTATCATTGGCTAGTTTAATTTGTAATTTTTGAAGAAGGGTTTCCACTTTAAATAGAACGGAGAGAGAAGAGGAAGGGCTTTTTGCCAGAGTCAACAGAGAACTACGTTTCTTTGTTTGAAAAATTTAAATCGTTTTTTTTGCCAAGTGGAGAGCAGATCCACGTCTGCAGAAGTTTGAAGTTTGTTTTGGAGTTGTGAAGTTTTTATCGTCAGTTTGTTGCCAGTCAGGGCAGTTTTTGGTTTGAGTGAAGATTGTTTTATTTCGCTTCGGCGAGTTACCGCAGTAGTTTGGATTGTGTAGAGGCCAGCCAGTTTTGGAAGTTGGTGGAGTTTCCGTTTTACGGAGTAACAAGCCGAGTTGCGGCAGTTTTGGAAGTTTGGACCTTCAGTGAAGTGCGTCACTAAGGGGTGTCGGCGCCGACTTAAGTGTTTGTTTGTGTAATTTCGTATTTTGTTGTATTTTTTTGTGTGTACCGTAATTGGGATTAGCAGTTTTGGACATGTACCGAATGTAAGTAAGATTGTTTTAATTGTAGTTTTTTTTCTTTGTAATAATTGTTTTGTTTTCCTTGTTTTTTTTTATTGCGTAACCATTAAAACTGAAATTTGTAATTCTCACATTAATTTCTGTGTTTGTCTTTCGAACGATTTCATTTCCTTTAATTTACTGTTTTCTTTTAAGACTTGCCCA